TAAGTCGCATCCGACAGCGGGTGGCGTTCCTCGATAGGGACCGTTTGATGGCGCCGGATATTGAGGCTATGAGACTCTGGGCAAGTGGTCATGATTGGCCCGAATCACTCACTGAGCTGTTGCCCAGCCGTTGCTCTCGTGTGATGAGTATTTATACACCGCGAGACAACAAAAACAGCTTCAAAGCTCAAAAATGAAGTGATAAAGCAAGCTCGGGTGGGCACTAAGCTATATGTATTTCCTGACTGCATACTTCAGGAGAAGCCAAATTATTGACATGAATGAGACAAGAAAACTACACACATTGCTATTTGGATTGTATTTTGCAAAAATGGACCAGGATCATCGCAATGCTGCTGATATTGTGCAAGTTCTTTTGTCTTGGAGGAAAAACCTGATAATCTATTAATAGTTTCCATTTTACTCGCTAAAAACTGGAAATTTATGACAAAAATTACCATACCTATAAATTTCATATTCTTTCAGGCTTTCAATAGTTTTCTTGCAGAGGATGAAGTTGCACAATCCTAGCAACATTGCAATGCTCCTGGTTCCTTTTCGCAGAATGCGATCCATTTTGCCTTCACCTGCTGAAATAAGCCAGAAAACATCCATAGTGCAGCAATGGTTATCCATTCGAAGGTTTGTGTCTTGCAATGTCTTGCAATGCAATGTCCCGGACCTTGTCTCGCCATGCGCAATAATTTGGTAACACTACAAATGCGACAATTTTGATGCTGCATCTTTTTTCTGTTGAAGTTTCATGTGATTAACGATAAATGAATGATAAACAAAAAATAACCCACTCTCAAAATCTGGAGAAACAGAATTTCCTCAGCGTATACGAAAAAATGTTCATTAAGTGGGCAGGTGTTTGTTGGCTGCGGTTAACTATTACGCCCTGCTGCTTTATTGCTGACAACATCGGCGTACAAAAAGTCCATGCATGCCAAGAAGCACCTACTCTGTGTAACGCACAAAATTGAATTTTATAATACCCCAGTGATAAAATCGAATTGCATATTTCGTTGTTTCCCGCACGAAGGAATCTAACTTCACTCCAAGCCAAGGTTGCCATGTTGACTCAAATAATGCAATATTTTACAAGAAAGTACCTAGAAATGCTTTGTTCAAAATTTGTCTGATTTTTGCATGAGATCGGAGGAAAAATCAGCGAAATTTTCAGTGAGATCTGGCCAAAAGTTTCATCGTAAAATTGTAATATGTGAGGGGAAGTTTGGCAAAATTGAAATGTAGTAACGTTCTTTTACACTGGAAAATAAGACGCTTGGATCTAGAGTCCAGACTCTTAATAACATTGACAAGAAAAAATACTCTTGTTTCAATCAGATTTTTCCTTGAATCAAAGAGCCGAGCCTCTTTATTTAGGCGGATTTCCTTTGAATTCAAGCAAAAAGTGCGATTGAATCAAGATTTTATTTTTCTTGTCAATGTTTTTAAGAGTGTGGACTGTAGATCCAAGTGACTTCTTTTTCCAGTGTATGTTCAGAAACGACGAATTTCAGTAAAATTGACGGTGCAGCGAATAAAATCATATTTTGAGTCATTCCCGTCCGTATTCGCTTGAAACATCCGCCAATTTTTCAGCATGATAACCAAAGATGATGAAGAAAAGAAAGATGAAACCATTCAGAAATAGGTCGCCGACGCGTCCATACTCTAATGGACTTAAAAAATGCTTCGAATGATTTTAAAATTAACCTCACCCACAACTAATTGACAGAGCGTAAAAAAGGAAAAGTTAAACTGTAATGCGATGCGGACCACTAATCATTATGAAGTCGAGTCTGGTGCCCTGTAATTTTATTACCCCGTGTGACAGTTGCTATTTCTCCAGCGTCTAGTCTGAGTATCGACGATGATATTGTATCCACTTCCATTAATGAATGAGGACTATGTGAGCCATTCACTGGTCACACAGGATGACAGGCTTCGTTAAATGATTTTATTGCGAAATTTATTTGTACCCGCTTGAAAGTTACACGAAGTTCCATTGAAATAAATTATTTTTTATGCTTACCCTGGTAAAAATTGGCAGGAGAATGTGTGTTCCAAAATACTATAGACCTAAAGCCGGCTGTAAGATTTCCAATAGCTTCTGTAGCCGGCTGTACAATTTCTTATAGCCTTGTAAAGCCGATGGCGATTAAGCAACAGCCAGACGATAATTTTTATGCTAAACGTTACTAAATACGGATACTAGGACTTAGTTAGTTTTTGGACTACCGCTCTTTTTTTATGCCGTAGTATCTTGATTTATTTTGCGAGGAAAGCTCCGTACTTTTGAAGGATGCCTGTCATTCTTCATATGTTGGAGCGCCTTCAATTTCTTATGATACTGTGCAATACCTCTGGTGTGTAATAGTTGCTTCAGACGCCGTGGAACGCTGCGGCGTGGCGGGCGGGCAGAGAGCGCGAAACGCGCATTGGCGCCTACAAACCTAACAGGGATACTTCGCGCATTGCGCAATGCGTGAAGTATCCCTGTTAGATTTGTAGGCACCAGTGCGTCGCCGCTCCGCTTTGTGTTAGGTTCTAATATTTAATCTCGCGGAGTCAGCGTTTTTCAACTCATGATTTTGAAATGTATGCACATCCTGTATGGATTATTCTCATTTTAATTTATGAAAAAAAAAATGTTTTAAAGGAAAATATAATGTGTGTTTTGTAAATATTAAGGTGGGTCCGTATCAAACTTAATGATTTCCAAAGCACACGAATTTCTACGCAATTTCTTATAGCCTTTTATAGCCAATGGCGATAAAGTGTAAAGCCCGGCGATTGGAACTATAGCCCGACTGTATACTTTTTTATAGCTTCGTATAGCCCGGCTATATGATTTGCTCCGCTTTCTACAGCCAGCTATATGATTTTCAATAGCCTTCCTTAGTCGGCTATGAGAACTCCCATGGTATTTTGAAACGCAGCTCCTATCGCCAATTTTTACCAGGGTAAAATTATTTGATTCAATGCTTTAATTTTAATAGTTCATAAAAAAAATTAATTTTGTAATTAAATGAAACCCTGTATGTTTAAAATATCATTAAAAAAATTATTATTTCTTATTTCCAAAATTAATATTTTGGATTTAAATTATATTTAATGATTGAAGTCCTTAAGTGTTTCGATGGTTTAACGGTTTTTCAATGTACTAATATAATAACCGGATAAACCTTTCGATAAAAAGCTGTTTATTTTCCACATTTGTATTTTATTTTTTATTTTATCTATTTGTAATTGCATTTGTATTTTATCTATTTTACAATGTAAAACAGAGTGACATAATAGCGGCGGGTCCTCACAACTATTAGGATAAATCAAAGCCAAAAAATCCAAAAATGAGAATTGGAGTCAAATAATGGCCTCTAAAGAATTTCGGTGACGGACTGAGAGGCTCTAGTTGCAAAAGAGATATTCAAAAATACTTCAAATGTTGTTCGAGTTTTTACCGGCCCAAGCCACCACCAGAGCCAAGCGGTATATTATGCGGGCCGATGTGGCATCTGCAAAAAACTGGATGAAGCAACCAGACTGATATTAGTGGACACGATACAAACCATATCAAATTAAAACCGAGAAAAAAAGGGTTTGAAGCTCTATTTTTTTTCTCTAAGATTGTATTTAAAAGTAAATTGTGACCTGACGTCAGACCTCATTTTCTCAAACTGCATATTGATCAACCCCTAATCATAACAATATTGATTTTGTAATTGAATGAAACCCTGTACCTATGTTTAAAATATCAGTAAATAGATGATTATTTCTTATTTCTAAAATTAGTATTTTGAATTTGAAAATATGATGATATACGACGAGGCGAGGTTGAAAGTACTCTTCCCTCAAAAATTTTCCTCTAAAATGTGATTTGATCATTTTTTAATCGCCTCGGTTTGATTTTACCCATGAATATTTGAAAGAGCAGGCACAGTACTGCACTTCTAGTTTTCAGATTGAGGTGCATATACATCTTAATTGAAGGGCTTGGACTTGAAGAACAAGGTGCATAAGTGCAGATTTTGCTATTTAAAAAATTACGTGTTTGAAGTTTAGAAATTACATAGGTGTTTATGGTGAAGAGAGAGTTCAAACTGACTTTTTGATGCTTAAAAATTGAAGTCTGTAAGCGAATTTTTCACAGAATATGCATCGAGAATATAGTTTTACTTGAAATCATTAACAAGTCAATTTCTCTCAAAAATTGCACTCGTGCGCCTTGTCCTTTAATCCCTCGAGGGCCCCATCAATTCATTAAGCAGGGGCGAAAGTTGTGGATTTTTTTTGAGTGATTACAGCAATTGCGCACAGCTGATCGAGTCAATAAGACAGGTCGGACATGAATTTTCTTACTAAAACTACAAATTTTTTAAGTTTATTTTGTCACATTTTAAATTTCACGGGTTGTTTGTGGAAGAAAATTTCACGATAAAAGCAATGGAGCCACTTTTAGAACCTTAAAGTTTTGTATAAACGGAGTTATAAGCGCCTAAAGTTTCCAAATTTTGTCCGGCCTCTCTTATTGACTCGATCCACTGTGTGGCGTTGAATTTCTAGTCCCATTCTTTGCGGAGAAAACTTTCAGGGATGGTCAAAATCGTTGTTTTCCTTCCTGTGAGGCGAAATAAAATTTGTACCATCGCCTCGTCAAATTTTTGGATCGGAATAAACTTGCCGGCATGGTCCCAGATTTTGACGCCGAGCATCTCGAAGTGCAAAAATAAGAAGAGGAAAATGGAAAAAATTAGGAGCAGTAAAGGGACTTTAAGTTATATATGTCATCATAAGTGAGCTCATTACTTACAACAGATATCGATAGGCAAAGCAAACACGTTAGTGGTGGTTTCGTTATAACCGCTACACGTGTTTGACCTACTTTTCGCTGTTCGTTTTGCCTTTCGATTTGAGCACTAAACACCCAGAAAAAGGCTTCTCCACTTCTATTTATGATAATCTTTTTCTACATTTACATCGACCTGTTGCAGCGTATCGTCTAGTGATTCTTTACATGAAGACCATGCTGATGACGATGGTTTCCAACTACACGATTCATCGATGCTCCAGAACTCCAAGAGAGTTGAAATATGACGGAGGGCGTTTTTTCCTCACACCGAAAGGTGATCTCTGGCTTCGCCTAAGGAGAAGGAAATGAAAATTCAAAAAGAATTTTACGAATAGTATTCTTTTATTAGACCTGCACTGGGCACGTCGTCTCTTTTCTTATTTAAGGTGTTGGTAGAAGTGAAAGCACCTGACAGAATGCAATTATTCTATAACATCTTTTCTTAAAAAATTAACATATTTTAAGAGAAATACTTGTTCAGAAAAGAATGAGATACTTGTCTTTTCACAAATAAATCCTAATTCTAAAAAAAGTAACTACTTTCTCTAGATCCTAACATTTTCACCTCTGTTACGATAGCAAACCACAATAATGACCATTTCGGGGGCAAAACAGACTTTTATTATCAGATCGTAAAACTTCTAAATTTATTTTAAAAAAATTACGGAATAGAGATACTTATCGCATAGATACGTAACGTATACAATACAAGACTTAAAATATAAGAAACCGACCTAATGAGAAAATGATTATGGCAACTTATAGTTCCCTCCAAATGGTCATAATTGTGTTTTAACGATTTAACAGTGAAATAGTGAGTTAACATTATAGGGCGTGTATTGAGATCTTTCAAGATGGTTGACATCTCTTATAAAATCCCATCAAAACTATACAAAGCGCTTTAAGTAATATATACATCTGGGATACGAAATAATAAAAAATTAAAATCCTTAGTGCAAGATGAAGAGACCTGCAGGAATCTCTGGGTTATAAAATATCTAAAATCCTAAAGTTAAAATTACATTTGATCATTTAAGGAAAATAAAATTATAAAAAATACGGTTGGTAACTTCCTACCCACATTCAATTAGAATTTTAAAAGTATAAAAAGTAACGCGACTTTCCATTACTAACGTACTCTGATTTACGCTGCCATTTTACGTAGAAAAAGTTTTGAAGTAAAACTCATGCTATAAAGAGCTCCCATTTTATTTGGCGTGCGTCCGGATTCTTCAAAGATTTTGCAAAATGAGTACATGACATTTCTGTCATCTCTAAAATCACATTTAAATCAATTTTCTCGAAAGAACAGCTCAAAGTCGCTCTTGAAGATGCAGTTTTCAAACTTTTTCCCAGGAGGCCTCCAAACTTTTTTGGAGCTTGGGAAGTCCTCTCCAGGCTCTTCTTCGTGGAGCATCCATCGAACGGTGAATCGAGGCAACAGGTGAGGTCTGACAGAATTTGGAAACTTTAAAAACTTATGACTCCGTTCATACAAAACTATGAGGTTCTAAAAGTGGTTCCATTGATTCCCTTGTGAAATTTTCTTTCGTGAAAAGAAGCACCCCTTAAAATTAAAAATGTTACGAGATAAACGTCAAAATTTGCAGTTTTAGTCAAAAATGCCATGTCCGACATCACCGATTGACTCGATCCACTGTGCGTCAGTGCCCCTCAGAACCTCCTGAGAGGGTGCCATTCTGCTCCCTCACAAAAATTCCTAGTTCTGCCCATGTCTCCACTCCAAAATTTTAATGACGGAGGCAAAACCTCACCAAAAGTAGGAGGGTCCGGTCAGACATGATTGTCCTCGGCGAGGAAAATTGAGGTGACGATCTCGTAAACGGTGGTGCTGAAAGAGACGAGGAAGGCAAAGAGGCCGAGTGCGACGATGAGGGCAGCCCGGAAGAGGAAGAAGAAGAAGCGCCAGCCGGTGTAGGAGTGCCAGAAGGTGAGCGTGTGGATGATGATCGGGAAGAAGATGCCCAGAGCAGGGAGGCACAACGAGCCGCTCAGGGACATGAACAGCTCCAAGTTCGGAATCGCGATGCAGCACAAGTCTGAAATTTAGAATCGACAAAAATTACAACGATTTATCAAAAAGTGCACTGATCCTAATATCGTCACATTCCGGTCAAAGTATTACAAGCGCCTTGCAACGTTTCAAAATTTTCGCCGCCATTACATTTTTGACAGAGAAATATTACTCAACGAAGCTGTCCGAAAATTTCAATGAATTTGCTTTGTACTGCGGGTAAAATTCAATGAAATTTTCAAACAGATTCAATCAACAATTTTTCTGTAAAAAAATAAAATGGCAGCGGAAATTTTGAAGCGTCGCATGGCGTTTGTGATACTTTTGCCGGGAGGTGACAATATGCTAAGATTACTTTTTGCAATAAAGAATAAGTACTATATACTACTATCTAATATACATTTGCTATCTGACTTATCCAGACAAGCACCTTGTTGTATAGAAAAATTAACATCACACAATATGTTACCAAAATGAGTCAGAAATACATTAGTCACTCCATATTGTAAAATGTAATTAAATCAATGAAAAAAAACTGTTAGGATCAACAGTGAAAATTTTTACGTGGTAGGAAAATGCAAGTCTTCGATTGCAACGTTTCAAATTGTGCATCTTTTTACAAAAAAACTAACCAATCTTTTCCCTGAAATTTTTTGTGAATTTTTTTTTCTTATTTCTTAACATTTTTGAAAAATGTTAAGAAAAGATTTCGGTCAGTTTTCCTTTGAAAATATGAAAAATAATCGGTGATTTTTAAACGTTGCTGCAGTGTAATGAACTCGTGTTTTCCAACATCGATGTACGTACTGCTCTCCTAAAGAAATGTGAGATTGAATCTTTGTTCTTATAATGCACAATGTTTTTTATGATTATAAATATGTCTGAATAATGCAAAAACGGGACAATCGTGAAATTTTTCAGGAAAAGGTCAGCATAATTCATTAGTGAGCAATATTTGTAGACAATATGAGAAAACCTCAAACAGATAACAATTACCGTACAAACGATGCTTGTTCTGGCCTATCTCGAAAATTGAAGGCGGAATCGCTGTGTAACCCCTGACCTACTACTGGCCGCACTGAGAAAACACGCCGTATGAACGAACATTCGGGAGTTTTCAAATTTCCTCCTATTAAATATTCATTTATAAGAAGAGCTCTGGATGTTTTCTTATGAAATTATCAGATAATGTAGATCTGATTACGAATAAAATTCTCTGAAAAATTCGAAGAAAAAAATTCACAAATATCCCTCAAAATTCATATTTTATTGACAGAAATTTGGCAACGCCTGAGGGCTCATGCAGCGTTTTTTCTCAGCATGGCAGCGCTGGGATTCCTTCTCTTAGGACGGTAACTAATATTTCATTGAAGTTTTCGTGAAAAACATCAACCCTCTCTAACACAATCCAACCTTTTCATATTACAAATATTATTACGAGAGTTGAATATGATAATGGGCCTCGCACTTACAATTGGTGAAACACAAGCAGGTCCTGAAAACGTATTCCCACTTGTCCAAATGTTTGTTGTCCCCGAATTTGAGCTTCATCCACTTATGCCACACCATGTCGGTAACCACGTAATTGCACAATGGATACGTCGTGAAAATAGATCCGGCCATCAAAATCCTTATTACATCACCAATCCTGCCAGAATAAAGACAAAAACACTGAAATCTGTTAACGACAGCACTTCATTCCGACCAATGTATGTTTTGTCCAGTTCTCAAAATTTGATATATGGTGCGGTCGAGGAGGAACTCATTCACAAAAAGTTATTTTTTACATTGTGACTTGTGGGACACAACTTAAATCGACACAAGGAAGCTGTCTCATTGCCGCTGGATCACCGAAGAGACTCTATTTGAGATGGAATACGGGATAAGGACGCCAACAAGAGGAGAATTTTAATTGTTAAATATCCTTATTGATGGAACTTTAGGAACGTTTAGTGCTGAAAAAATATTGTTGGCATGCAAACCATTTGGACTGCGTTAAGCAGAAAGGAACCAAGTCACATCAGCCATTGCCAAATATAATTAGGCAATTTACAGGCCATGTTTTTATTTTTTATTTTTAGGCGTTGTTACATGAAAACGGTTGTGCGGAGATTTGTGCAAATTTCAGTGAATTTGCTGCATAGTACGAAGCAAATTCCTCAGAATTTTCAAAGGAATCCGCAGAAACGTTCTCTTGTAAAAAATTAAATTTTGCAATAGCTGATATGGCTTGGTTCCTTTCTGCTAAACGCGGTCTATTTAAATAAAGTACAACCTCTCTCTTAATTTAAAGATGACGTAGATGATCGCGCCTGTTGCTTTTAGAAAATGTCGTTATTCTTCATCCCTATATTGCAGTTATTGTAAGAGCATATCAACTAAGCTAACAATTAGTGTTAAGTGATGACGCTTAAAAATTTTGATTTCAAACTCTCATTTTTCGCATTTCGGTAGTTAAATGAATTATCATCATAAATGTTTAATTTTTCTATTAAGAACAAAAAAAATTTGGGATCTATTTACCGTGAAAATGTTTGATGACTTCAGGTAATTCATGAATCACACTAAGCTATGAGTGTAAATACTTCTATATTTAAACCTAGAAACTCTTCAATCTTGCAAACTAAAAAGTACTTACGCTCCGGTCTGAGGTAGATTTAGTGTGATGCTGCTTTGGGTGAAATTGCCGTATGCCAAATAACCAAAAAATCCCATCAACACATACATTGTCATGTTGGGAATCATAGTGGCATTGACAACTCCAAAGGTGCCACCAAATCGTTTTGGGTTTGTCATCTTGTTCTTCAAAGGTACAACCTGCGAAAAAAAGAGGACATTTTTTCAAAAGCTTGTTCCTGAGGGTACAAGTATATGATTCATGCGAGGAGCCTTTACTAATCAATGCCCGCTATACATACTCACAACCAGAGTGTGAAGAGTCATAAATTATGTAAATAAAGACAAGTTTTGCCTTACCTTGCATATTTTAAATGTATATTTTTCAATGCAAATTATTTTTTTAAAAAATATTTTTAATGCAAATTAGTTAAAATATATTTATGCAAGGTAAAGCTAAACTTGTCTTTATTTCCATAATCAATCATTTGGATCACGTATTTCGAAAAGCCCACTTTGACCGTTCAAAAGCTTTAGGTATTTGCTAAGAAGATTAACCAACTTTTTGGGAATTAATAAGGAGGAGATACAGCTACCACCTGTTTAATTACATGTATTATGTGAATTCGCTCTACCTTCACCGTATTTTAAAAAAAATAGCAAAACATCACCATGAACATGAACCACGCATAATACTGCCGTGCTAAGGAAGAACGCCGTAAGAACATTCGAGAGTTACCGAATTTCCTTCGATAAAATGTTTATTTTTTAGGAGTGTTATGAATATTTTTCCTTTAAATTTTCAGAATCTTTAGGTAAAATTGCGAACTAAACTATCTGAAAAATTGGGAGGAAAATATTCATAAATAGACTAGGAAATTCGCGTTTTAGCAAAGGAAATTTGGCAACGCCTGAAGGTTCATACAGCGTTTTACGGCAGAATACATCTCCGTACGTTTCTAGGGATGTTTCTTCAACATCTTGGTCATTCTACAGAAATATCTCATTTATTTATTATTTGCTGGTTCACTTTTATTCTTGAAAATAACACGCGTAGGAGTTTCGCAAGACTGCAACAATTGGATTGTGACGGGAGCCAATCACCATCCGGTAGGAGCAGTGCGTTTTGCACTCACCTCTCATTGGCTGCCGCCAGGATGCGTGATTTTGAGTCTCGCCATTTTGTAACCCTACGCCTCGAAAAGTGCCGGCTGAGGGGCGGAGTCAAGTGACCGGCTAAGTCTTATGTTTGACAGTTGATTGGCTATGGTCTTTTCTTCTGAGGAGTCCTGCGGTCCCGTCTTCGACCTGCGATACGCAGGGCCCGGGTGTCCAGATGAATGATTCGGTTATTATTCCTACCTACTACCTGCTTTTAAACTCTCTTTAAAAATAGCCGGATCTCTTCGCTTCTCATCGGTCGCCTTAACACGCAAAGTATTATGATTGCTAGACTCCAAACGCATCGCAATTTAATGCAACCTCCTAAAATTTCCAACAATTTTTCCACCTGCTTCCGCCAATATTATCGCTCCATTTTACATGTCGACGGTGTAAGTCGACAGTCACATAAGTCGGTTCGCGACGTCGCAGACTTCCTGTCATACTTCATTTTTTAAACGGAAAACTGCTGGACGGCAATTCTTCAAAACTGCCTTGATTTTTCTTCTCTCTGCGAAGAAAATTCTGTAAAAACTTCAATAAATTATGTCAATTTATTCTCCTTTAAAAAACATAGAGGCGGAGATTTTCAGGCACCATAAACGAGTTATGTGATTGCCGACTTACACCGTCGATGTGTGTCCTTAGTCTATTGATGTGTCTATCCATTTCCATAACCAGCCCGCAGGGTGTCTGAAATATTTATAGGCGTATAACCCAATCAAGACTGCAAGTAAGGCTCATAGATGAGACAATGGATAGGCAAACCGGGTTTCATAACGCACTTAAAAATACAGAGAATTAGCGGCAGTACCTGACCAAGTGACTAACCACATCGTTTTTACCCTTAATAAATATATAAATCCGCTTTGATAGCGCTCTCTGGTGCTCTGCGACACCTAGCCGCCAAAGTCCCCTATCTTCCCAAAGCCCTTCAGGGAGTTGGCACTCCCTCATTTCTTTCTAAAACCCCATGTCACCACACTTTAACTAGCGTCTCTTTCGTTTTCTCCCGGGTGGAACCCAATCAAGCATCCCTTAATTTTATCCTTTTTACCTGTAATTCCCACCTTAATTCAAGTCCTACGTAGAGTACCTGTATAGCGAGAGTATGGACAGATGTGAAACTCCGAAAATCCATCAGGCCTTCACCGATGCTTCTGCGAATAAAGTTAGGGCCCAGAAATGCAGCCAACCTATGAATTTCAATTATCCAGCATGATTTACTAATACTATAGTTACGAACCGTCGTTTATAAAGCACATATTTGACTCAGTTTTTGCATAAATTCACTCATTTTTGCGGAGGAACGCTCATTTCTGTACATTCTTGACCATCTTGGTTAGAATTGTAATTTGCAGACTCTGCAGATTGACAGTGAAATTTTGTGTGAAAGAAGTTGGTTAGAAGGATGGCTGCACTTTTGGGCCCTAAGACCTCCATGAAGCGATCTGTCCATACTCTCGCTATACAGGTACTCTAGTCCGACGCGCGGTCTAGATCGCGTTGTGTGCTTAAGAAAATATTCAGTGTCCAATGGAAAGATACTTACAATGCCGAAGGCGCCCATGGCGAAGAGGGCGGTACCAAAAAAGAGGGCGAACTCTCGGAAGGAGCCGATGGCCTTGCGGCCCTCAAGGGCGATCGGCTGCGAAAATATGAAGTAGTAGATGACACCGAAACAACCCACGGCGCAGCCGGTGCCCAGCGTCGAGCCGGGGGCCAGGTATTTCAGGTTCTTGATCCAACAGATCAGGATCAAAGGGATCATCAGCCACGTCTGGTACCACCGCAGACTGTGCGTTCCGTACCTGTGGTCGCAGATCTGCAAAAATTGTCGAGAAACATTTTCTTGTAGATTTTCTTAGAAAAGGACGCGGGATCAAAAGTGCACAAATCGACACCTCCCGGTCAAAGTATCACAAGCACTTCTATAATTACTTTGTCGCGGCATATTTTGTCGTTTTTCAAACAAAATAACGTAACTCCAGGTTGCATAATAGACTAAAAAAATTCAATATTTTACAATATCACCCATAATACTATTTCTGCCCAAAATCCTGCTAATTTTTGTACGTAGAGTAAGATAGAATTTCTATCTCCCATCACTAGATAGCAAGAGCAATACTGCTGATCGCGTTTACGAGTGAATTTTCGGAGGTCTACTCAACAAGTCTCAAAGGTCAACTGTGAGAGTGATAGACTAGAAAATGAATTCATGCGGTCTAAGTTCCCCGTCTCCCTCCGATGACCTGGCCATTTCTTTCGATTCTAAGGAATTTAATAAAAATGGACCCTCCAATCTCCCTCCCGAAAATATTTCTGGCAACGCCTCTGGAAGGCCTTTTATTTAGTTAATACTAATGCCCCCACCCCAATCTCTGACAGCTCTTCATACGGCAATTGCTCCTCTAAGAGTCGGTACGTCTCAAATTGAAGTTGTATGAAATCTTTCCGTTTATTTTCCTTGCGTTCGTGTAATCTTAAACTTTAATGTATTTGAGTTTGCACATGCATTTAAATATTTAGAATTCAGAAACGTATACGCGCACATAAATTTCTCCCATAAATATGCCATGTCGATATTATTATTTGGACATAGTATTCATGAATTTCAATGAGCAAGAACTGAGAAGCTCAAATGGACTGCATTTTGCAATTTAGACCTATAAATTCTGGCTCATCTGAAAAAACACTTATGTACATAGGGAAATTAATGGCACATACGTTGTTTTTAAAGCGGGCCGGAATTTATAGTTCCTAATTGCAAAATGTAGTCCAAATATTATGTATCATTTTTTCCTTCGCAACTAAGGGGTTTTTTCTTAATACGCCTCCATTTTTATACGGCAATTCTCAGAACAACTAGTACTAATTAGACATACGTTTTCAGGACCTAATACGTCATCTGTTGAGTACACACAAATTTAATTAACCAAATGAACTCAAACGTAGGGTCGTTAGCGCACAGGTCGATTTAGGAGCTCGCAGCACCCACTTACGAGGTCGAGTGCATAAGGGTAAGTCACTTTCGCTGAAAAATTAGTTTATTTGAAATCAACGCTATTGGGACCCCTTTAATTGCAGGAAAGATCGTTTTAAAGATTTTGCATGCTATTCCTCATCATAAAAGGACCCCGATTCCTTCGTTTCATGAGCTTTATATGCCATGCGACGTTTCAAAATTTCCGCCGCCACTTTATTTTTTTACGGAGAAATTTTTAGCTGAATCTGTTTGAAAACACTGAATTTCATCAGCAGCATAAAGAAAATTCGGTGAAATTTTCGGACAGCCTCGTTGAACAATTTCTCTGTCAGGAAATAGAATGGCGGCGGGAATTTTGGAACGTCGCATGGCGCTTGTGATACTTTGGCCGGAGGGTGACAAAATTATTGTCCTCCGGGCGGGAGAGAGCCGAGACGTTTTCAACGTTGCGAAATTTCCATTTCTAAATCACACTTTTCAAGAAAACTGATAGTCATTTTAACTGAAAATTTCACCGATAATTTTTCGGGCTTCATGCAAAAATTACTAACATTTTGGATGGAAATAAATTACACCATCATATTCTTGGATTTCTTTGGCCCTGAAAGCTATGTTGTTCTGGAATGAGACTAATTCGTGAAAATTTCTAAGTTTGACACTTTTCTCATGGAGCCATTCAAGTGTCGACCGTGGAGGTTTTGGTTGGTAAATCATTTGTTTACTGGCCATAAAGCATGGAATCTGGTCTCATTACACGAATGGAGAATTTGCACGCACATTTTTTATTGCTTCATCTGAAAGTGCTTTAAGAGCTGATTTCACAGTATTTTTTGTAGTTTTTTCTGATATGGGAAATAGTATAAAAATAAAGTATTTGAAAGTGAGAAAATACATCGCCTAGTGACGTCATTTGGCGGCATTTCCCATTTAAACACATGTATTTTAGCAGATTAGATCATTTTGTCATATCGTCTCCAATAATCGTTCAATTCATGAACCAAGGGTATCTTCGTGTTCAGTTCACTCAGTATTTTCCAGTAATACACGAATTTTATCAAATATTAGACACCTGCAAATTCTCTATTCTATGCAACGTCTGCAATATTCCGATAAGCATAGGAAAAACGCCTTCATGATGAAAGCTAGGCAAAAATAACATTTAAGCGCAAGAAGTCATTCCTTTGATTTGACCCTTCAATATATGCAGTCTCATTAATCATGAGACGGAAACTCTCTTCCTAGAATATTTCATTGTTATGTGGCTGCTTTTTCGTACCAAGTTGATAACTGCTTCTACAAGCTCACCAAAGTTGATAAATAATCTCAGAATGACTTACCGCCTTCACATTTTCTGCAATGAAAATTGCGTAGACACAGTCACCGCCAAACTCAAGCAGAATCATATATACGTAACAAATTTGCCTGCAACCAACAATAATCATGTAATGCTCTAAAACCTTGAATGTGTGAATATATGAGTGTACTTAAATATTTTTCTTAGATTTAATTTTCACTCGGCGAAAATAATTAAGTTTTGTTTCCATTCTAAAATTGAAATTGTGCTTGTGTTTTTTTTTCTATTCTCCCTCGCTTTTATCTAAATCTTGAAATGGGATCGACCCGAAATTTTTTTCAGCTCTGTTCTGTCACTTATCTTCCAAAATTTCTATTGGGGACCAAAATCTGTTACCGAACATTTTTCCTGGATTATCCTGGGGCGACATTAACTAGACTACTTATCACAGCGTGCAAAACCGACTCTGAGTTTAATTTTTCTAGCAAATTTTCAATTTCTTACTCAAGTTTTCAAAGGTAGCCTTTTAAAATATTACGAAGATTGATATTTAGAACCCTGAAACAATCCTCGTGCCTGCATTTTTATGGAAAATATGTGTTCTAAAGTCTTCTCGTTAAAATAAATTGTACTTAGAAAGGTCAAAAAAAAAAAAAAAAATTTATTTGGGCCCCATTTAAGGTAAGCCGATTATACATATAATGATTCACACACCAGAACCACTCAAAATTGAGCCATAAATTAATTTTTCTTTAGGCTTTATATTAAATAAGGCAGTATATTAGTCTAGTGTAATTGGCATTTACTGTCAACAAGTTCGTTATCATGTTTACAATAGTGTTAAATAGAACCTTAAAATTATTGGCTCTTGAGCGAACAGCGTGGTTCTTGGTGGTAGTTAATATTTATATATATACGGGGAAATCTTAATTAGTACTTGATATTCAAAAGATATGCAGGAATTTACCCAGCGAGTCGTTTGAAGCGACCAAAATTTCCCGGACCCAGTTCAAAAGCCGCCTCTATTGTCTCGGGATATGTCAACCGAGGAACTCTCTTCCGCCTGCTCAATTCGTACTCCGTGCTTGACTAGAACATAACAAGCAAGAATCACAATTTTATTAGTTTTAAGTATTTACCGTATTTTTTTAGGCTTTATCATTGGCTCCAGAGACAGTATATTTCAGAGACCCCGCAATGCTATCTACCCTTATATAAGAGGGATGCCGCAATCACACGCTGAATTTGGCAGCTGAATGTGGCAGTCAACTGTCAGCGCTCAACAGCTGAAATTTCACTAATTCGAGTTATTTTCATCCAAATGTGTATCAAATCTATTCGAATAGTTCAGGCAAATCCGACATTATCCGATGGTTGCTGAGAATCGTTGTTGAATTTTGCGCGTCACGCGCAAAATTCAGGCGTCGGGCCGATGACTTCCACATTCAGCGTGTGATTGCGGCATTACTTTCAGGAGTAAACGCTCAGAATTGATATAATGAAGACTGATGATTAAAGAGTTGTTTTCAATCCTAACCTAATTTACGAAAAATCGCCCAGTAAATCGCTCACCCAGACATTCATCAGTCATAATTAGGTGAATTTTTTTTTTTTTTTCAGTTCTTCTTTTCTTCTAATTTTTAATTTTTTGCCCAAAAAGTTCCTCATCAATGCAATCACCGACTGAAATAAAGTAGCGCTGACCTCCGAACTGTACTTCTCCCTCAACTAATTACTTGTGTACATCGCTTCAATTTATTGTGAGGTCGCTAAGATATATAGTGCTTCGTCAAAACAAAAAATGACATCGAACGACTCCTCGTCATTCTCGCACTATCTTTTTCTGAATATTCAAGCCCCCTCCCGATAATAACCCTACTACTTCGAGGGAATTTGTCGAAAAATTACCGCGATGTACCTTGCATTATTTGTCATATCACCAAAATTCCGATCTCTCTAACAAATCGTTACTCCTCTGACGTAAGGGTGTATCTCTGTTTCCAAATGAGCCTTGGAGACCGTTGAGTCATACGGAGATCAGGGCTCACATGGTAATTGTAATACGCCCCTATGCCAGTGCAGAGGAGTGCCGAAATATGGCTCTTGAGGAGACTCGCAAAATGTGAAAAATGGATAACATAAAAAAAAGGAAAAATTATTGCAACGTTGGATTGGGAGGTCTGCGACACTAGCGCACTCTATCGAGTAAACTCGGAACTAACGATTGTCAAACTCGAGCGGATCCGATAGAGGGCTCGCGTTGCGTAGTGCAGCTCCGTTCCTCACTATTTTCGCGTCGTTTGATTTAGGTGGGGTCCGTTGGATGACGGTTTTACAATCAGCTTTGCGCAGAGGCGATATCGTAACCAATGAAGTTCATCTGAGGTGCGATTATTGCTAGTTGAAAACTTTAACCAATACCCCGCCACGTGAACGTGAAATACCGTTCGCAATGGCAATTTTTGAATGCTCCTACGGGAGCTGATAACTTACATCATGTTCCGACTTCTAAGAGATACGTGTAGAGAGATTTGACATACTTTCTGCCTCCCGTTCCCGAGCAACGATATTTAGGGTTCACCTTTGATTCTTCTGCTCGCAATGGCAATTCTTGAATGATCCTACGGGGGCTGATGACTTATTCTATTAGCCGAATTTGAATAAATCGCTACTTCCTGAACTCCGTTACTTAGCAACGATATTTAGGGTTCATTTTCATGACTTAATTATTAGGGAAGACCGAAAAAGAAATTCCCTCGCAATATTGTGTGCAGCTAATAAGAATATTTTTTGGGGGAGGGGGGGGGGTAACAATGATCAGAAATATTCTTCCAATCCAAATCGTATAAAAAGTTGTTAGTTAACTGAGCTTCCGATTTGAGCATTTTCATTTAAATGTCTCCTCTATGGTTTCACCATTTTTCATGACGCATGAAAAAACTGTCTATTCTCGCGAAATTATGCTGAAATTATGTGAACGCGGGTGCCTAAAAAGTCAGAAAATTTGTCTTAATGCACATAATTTAGGCATAATTTCGCGAGAACAGACAGTTTTTTCATGCGTCAAGCAACTCATCGCATTGGTCGGCAAGTCTACTTTTCTGCGCTTCCTTAGAGTCTCTGAAGTGACTCCTGCATTTTACCGTCTTGCATGGCGATCTCGAATGTATCTCTATTGAGTTGAAAAAAAGGGCGATCTGAAAATTTTAGTGAAAAACTGTCTATTCTCGCGAAATTATGCTAAAATTATGTGCATTTAGACAAATTTTCTGACTTTTTAGCCACCCGCGTTCATACCTCTTGGGTCCTGAATAATCGCTTGAAAACGCGATTCCAGCTCAAGTCCATACTCAAATTTCGGAACCTTAGGAATTCAAAATTATTGGCGCGCCGGGATTTTTTACCCTCTTAAGTAGAGACATTTTAAAGAATACGTTGGACACAAACAGGGAGTTCTTTTTTTTTTTTAGAAAGCGAAGGCGATTGAGCGATTAAAATTTTCCGATAGCTTTCAATTTTCAGTAAATTGAATTCTTAAATACTCCAATCAATCTCGAAAGTACTCGGAACCTCAGAAAGTGCTTTACCGGGAAGATAACTCCTTTTGTGTTGACTAAAAGTACTTTCATCAACCGTTACGCAAATATTCCGTTCATATAAATTGCGAGGTAAAATTGACGAAAAAATGGTGAAACTATAGAGGAGACATAAATGAAAATGCTCAAATCAGAAGCTCAGTTACCTAAAAACTTATTATAAGATTTGGATTGGAAGAATATTCATTGAATATTCATTCAGAATAGACATTGTTGAGCTGGAATCGCGTTTTCAAGCGATTATTCAGGACCCAAGAGGTATGAACGCGGGTGGCTAAAAAGTCAGAAAATTTGTCTAAATGCACATAATTTTAGCATAATTTCGCGAGAATAGACAGTTTTTCACTAATATTTTCAGATCGCCCTTTTTTTCAACTCAATAGAGATACATTCGAGATCGCCATGCAAGACGGTAAAATGCAGGAGTCACTTCAGAGACTCTAAGGAAGCGCAGAAAAGTAGACTTGCCGACCAATGCGATGAGTTGCTTGACGCATGAAAAAACTGTCTGTTCTCGCGAAATTATGCCTAAATTATGTGCATTAAGACAAATTTTCTGACTTTTTAGGCACCCGCGTTCACATAATTTCAGCATAATTTCGCGAGAATAGACAGTTTTTTCATGCGTCATGAAAAATGGTGAAACCATAGAGGAGACATTTAAATGAAAATGCTCAAATCGGAAGCTCAGTTAACTAACAACTTTTTATACGATTTGGATTGGAAGAATATTTCTGATCATTGTTACCCCCCCCCCTCCCCCAAAAAATATTCTTATTAGCTGCACACAATATTGCGAGGGAATTTCTTTTTCGGTCTTCCCTAATAATTAAGTCATGAAAATGAACCCTAAATATCGTTGCTAAGTAACGGAGTTCAGGAAGTAGCGATTTATTCAAATTCGGCTAATAGAATAAGTCATCAGCCCCCGTAGGATCATTCAAGAATTGCCATTGCGAGCAGAAGAATCAAAGGTGAACCCTAAATATCGTTGCTCGGGAACGGGAGGCAGAAAGTATGTCAAATCTCTCTACACGTATCTCTTAGAAGTCGGAACATGATGTAAGTTATCAGCTCCCGTAGGAGCATTCAAAAATTGCCATTGCGAACGGTATTTCACGTTCACGTGGCGGGGTATTGGTTAAAGTTTTCAACTAGCAATAATCGCACCTCAGATGAACTTCATTGGTTACGATATCGCCTCTGCGCAAAGCTGATTGTAAAACCGTCATCCAACGGACCCCACCTAAATCAAACGACGCGAAAATGGTGAGGAACGGAGCTGCACTACGCAACGCGAGCCCTCTATCGGATCCGCTCGAGTTTGACAATCGTTAGTTCCGAGTTTACTCGATAGAGTGCGCTAGTGTCGCAGACTTCCCAATCCAACGTTGCCAACTTTTACATATATTTCTTGAATAAAAATACTCGTCTTAGGTCCAGTAATTCTTCCGTCGCGTTTTACCATTTTTTTTGCTTATTGTAGGCATCGACTGTTTGTACTTTGTAATGCTCCAGTGAAAGGATTATACGTCGAAAAACCCGAAAGCTTTACCAAATAAAAAAAATGAAATAAGTCTAGTGATCAGTGACCCTACTGTAATTTAAATATCAAAATTCATAGCATCCGATCGATTTCGGCAATTGCAATTTAAAGGGCAAATTTGTTTGAAATATTTTACTCCGTGCAAAACTAGATAATATAGGTAAAAAAAAAAAAAAAACTGAAGGTATTCACACATTTTTAATTGTTTTGAAGAAAATATGATATTATTTATGCAATATAATGTCGATAATTATTATGTTTAATTATATTTTTAATGATCAATAGTAGTTTTGTAAAATAATAATTGTGATGTAATACTATGGTAAAAGTAATAATTACTATGTGTAAAAAAATAATATTAATAATTAAGATTTAGCAATCGTTTGGGTTGAATATTAAGTTTGAAATTAAGTACTGAAAATCGTCAATCAAATTATTGTGAACTATTATCCCTATCTTTTACTGGAGTTCTGTCACGTTTTCTAACTGTAGATACCGGATAAAGCGTATCAAGCAGTCCTAGATTGTTTTTAGCGCCTGAATAGATGCATTTATTTTATTTTATTTTAACTTTAAATTTTATTTCCGCCTATATCTTCGATCGACGGAGCATAAAGTCAATGTCTTCATATACTGACTGCTTAAAATTATCATTTATCCCATATGAAATCCCAGGCGATTTTAAGTGTTTGAGAATTGAAGGAGTTTGAAATTTTTTAAAAAAGACATTTAGAGGTTTGAGGCGGCAACAATGGGAAGACAGCTGCTGGGAGATGAGAGGCGCGGAGCGAGCGGTGAACTCAGGAGGAGTGGTATGATAGGCGGGAGGGGAGAGTGGTGTGGTAGGCGGGAGGGGAGACGTCACGTCGATTGCGCTCAGAAGTTATGCAATGCTAAGTGCACATTACGCGGTTAACCTCTCTCTTCGAGCAATTTACTGGCTCCACATTATTTGAATTAAAAGACCAATGCCCGATTATTAATCGCCCGTCTAATTCCTGGCCAAGATTATTAGTAAGAATTAAAAGAGCATTCGCCATTTACATTTTACTTCTTTTTTATTGACTTTCTTCGCCATGGTTAACTAGTTTTCATCGATGTCGCTCTGTCTTTCTTCGATGACTCGAGTATAGTGGGTGTACATCGATGGCTTGAGTTGCAGAATACGTGCCTTTATTTCAAGCGGTTAATAATCTCTCGTACAGGGTGTTCCAAAGTTAAACACGGATTTTTTTCAGAAGAAATCGATCTTTGGGATCAAAACAAGACGTTTTTGTTTGTTCCGTAGCGATATCTCAAAAATTTTCCCTTTCAAAAATCTAGGATCCTCCAAAATCCTCATTAACATATGATTTTGGCTATTTACGGTCGGGAGCGCTTTAGGCTTTTAAAATACCATAAAAGTGTCAATTTCCATGCATTTTCATTCATTCATTCGATACATATATCGTCGTCACAATTAAGAAAAAACGGTTTATTGGCCCATCCTTTGTGCGGCTATACATCCGGAGGAGAGAAATATCTAGGAAAAAATTTAAGAGAAAAAAAGTCTTAATCCGATCCCACAAATATATTCTGAAAATATTTGCGTTTTTCTTTGAGGCACCGTGTATAGTTTTTCTAATTGTAGCCAACAAACAAGGAAATTTCGAATGGAATGAAAAAAAGTTGCAGAAAATTTCAAGAGGACCTAATGGTTGGTTTTCCTTTTGAAGAAAATAGAATATGAGCTGATATTTGCAAGTCTCAATCCGATCAAAACATTTTCCCCCTTTCTTTCCGCTTTTTTTCTTTCTTTACTTCAGCCTCCAATCAGCCTCTCCCAAGCTTTAAGGAGTGCGAGGCTCCTCCTGAGGGCTGCATGGGCTGCGTAGCAGCCAGGAGACACGGCCTCCTAGTAATTTCATAATCATTATTCATGCATGTAAAATATCGGAAACTTTGACTCAATGTCTAAGTTCACTACACCAGTTTAACTCTTTGGACCTTCATAAAAAGAAATAAAGAAATAAAAATAAAAAAATTAAAAATTATAAAAAAGGTTAAAAATTAATTAAAAATTTAAAAAAAAAATTGAATGCGCAAAACCTGTTTATCTGGGCGAAAACAATATGTATATCTTATTTGACAAATTCATGCACCAGACAATTAACAACAAATACACTAAGAGGAAAGTAATCAAAAAATTATAAAGAGGAAGATAGATATAGAGGTAAGGCGACTTACGATCATGTGAGCCGTTTGCGTGGTAAGAACCCCGGCAACAATAGTTCCGATTGTTCCTAGGAGATAGCCAGCATTGTAAAAAGCTCTCGGCATACCTAAGATTCCTGTTCCTAAACTTGCTTTTATCAAAATTAGCAGGGCTTCAAAATAACTGGAAAAAATAAGAAAATACATGAATGAATACCTATATATTTACAAAAAATGAGTTTCCCTATTTGTTTCTTTAAATCCATTCACGCTATGAAGGGATCAAAAGTGGTGGGATATATTTAGCTTTCAATTTTCGATCAACATCGCCAGAAAACCATAAATACTCCTAAACTAAAATCTCAAATATTTCCCCGCCATATGTGTCATGAAATAAATTTGATTTTACTCTCTTTCTTAAGTAATTAAACCCCCTCAGATATGTACGAGTATGGTAAACCGCGGCTGCAGTTTATTAAAAGGTGTATTTATTCTCTCTCTTTGTCTTGGTAACTTTTAAAAGAAAAAACCTTGCGTCTAGCTAGATTAAGAACCTTTAGGTAGCTCTCACAAGAATTATAAAAAAAAAAGTTTAAAAACTTATTATTCGTGAGGTATTATTTTCTAGAGAAACTTAAAAAGGCATTTTCAATCTAAAAACTGTCAAAATTCTCATTAAGGTTGCCGAAAGCCCTACTTCTACATTTCCTGATTAAAATGTAGTCTGGTAAGATTTACGGAACAAATTCTTTGGAGAGCCACCGTAGCTTTTTTTTCTTTTTTTTTTAAAAAAAAGAAGTTTTTAAAGAGTTTAAAAAAAACTTCTTACTTGTATTTTACACTTTGTTAGTTTTATTTATATAAACATACAGAGGTGGGCTTACTTTTTACATTAATTTTAACCGTTTTTTTAAGTCGTCTCTTTAAAATGTATTCACAAGTATTTTTATTATTATTTTTTTTTAAGAGCTGGTCCTCATCTTTAAGGATCGTATTTGCCCTGGGCGTCAAAGCATTTTTAACAGGATCTCGATCCAGGATGAATAAGGTTCTCCGTATGATATAATCTTCTCCGGAGGTGACTCCATATAGTCGGGAAAAACCCCCTAAAAATGTTCAAAATTTTTTTGTACGATTTTTGACCAGAATGTTTATCCCTAGATTTTAAAGCATGCGATTGCACCTCTCGAAAACTCCTTTTCAATCCCCAACATCCCTTCAAGGAAGGGTCTTAGTAGGTAGAGGGGAAACAGCTGTAAACTGGACCCTTAAAGCTCTCGAGTAGGTGTGTGTCTCGCGTGAAATTAAAATACGATCGATTGTTACTTTCTTGCTCGTCCGAGCTGTTCAAGTGACAGATGTGACGCAATATTTGATCGGGGATCATTTGTAAATCGGTTATTATGGGAACCTCGCATGCCATTTTTCTGACGAGCCCTGAATTCAATGAGATTGCTTACACGCCAGAGATCATTAGGGAACAAGCGGGATATACAGGTCCCTCTATTGATCGATTCGAATACTTCTAAGAGCCGCGAACCACGACGCAAATAGCCTTAATAGGTCATTAAAGGACCTCCTCTGCGATCTATGGTACTTCGTCTGCGAAAAAGATGTCTCCACACTGAGGGTTTCAAAAACCACTTACACCTCCCTTAATGGCAACAATTTTGAAGAAAAAAACATTTAAAAATTCATATACATTCTATACAGACGAATCGACAAATCCCAAAAAAATTGTTTCACTTCATGTCACCTTGATGGCGTTTTTTCTGTGTAAAACGCACAAGAGGTAAAGTTTAACAGGAGAAAGTGTTAATAAATCTTTAAATATTTTGAACTCTCAGATAAATATAGTGTTTATTTAAAAAAAAAAAAAAAAAAAAAAAAAAAAAAAAAAACTTTGTTTTACAAGGCTTAAACTTTGCTTCAAAAAAATATCACAGTTTTTATCAAAGTTGAAAAGTGCATGCTTTGACGATTGTTGTTATTTCTATACGAGTAGACTATGTATGTAGGCAACCAAATTATTCGCTCCCTCTTGCTATCTCTATGGACAATTATTTTATGATATTTTATTTTAGAAGGAATATTTTAATTTTAAAATGCAATAAAGGTACTCATCTCTTACAAGCGCGTGCTTATGAGATGAGAAGCTCAAAAATTGTGCTTTACATTGGGGTAAGTGCTGACACGCGGATTTTTAGAGGTATCTTGAAATGGACAGAAAAGGGTCAGGCGGTTTTTGTCATTTGGTCCGTACCAAAATAATACTTCCTTTACTTCAGGATATACACTGTCAATAGCTGTTTCGTTTTCAAATTGATACTTACGATGTAGTTTTTCCTGTCTGCTCCTGTTTGTACGGATCATACTCTTCCTCCTGCTCCTTTTCAAGATCCTTTTCCGGCTTTTCATCATTCACGCTGAGATCAAGTGTGTTTTGAGATTCTGTTTTCTTATTGAAACCCATTGTCTGTTCCAAACTGATTATCACCACAATAGTGATCGTCCTGTCCGAAAAAATAACAGTATGTGAATTAAATGCAACATTACATGAGATCAGGCGAACGAATTAAATAGTTCACCGAAAAAAGAATGAAGCTAATTTAACATTCTGGATATAAAAAAAAGTGTACGAGAACTTATGAAACGCTGAATCATTCGCTGTAGCAGTTACTTTAGAAACGCCAGGATGTAAAACTAACTGCAGTGGCAGGCAATTCAGCATTTTGTAAGTACTCGCACACTATTTCTACATCCAGAATGTTAAATCAACTTCACTTTTTTTCGGTGTAGAATTCGGAAAAACCCAACTCTGAGGGAAAAGGAGGCCAGAAAACATGGAGAAACCAATCGAGCAAACGAATGATAAAGCTTACAATTATTTGAAAATATTTTTGGTATTATTTAAGGCTATCACAAAGACGCTTGAATGTACAAAAATTCCAGGTTTGTCTTCCTTTTTTCCTTTCTTGGAAGTATATAAGTGATTCAGAACTCCAGCAGTGATTTGTAGTTTTTGAACTGCACAGTTATCACTCTCAATGATCATCGCTAAAATCAAGACGGTGCGTGAACTTATTGCCAGATATCGTGCAAGCAAGATTCGCCTTCAGTTCACTGCATAGGCAACATACCTACCGCGGAGCGCGAATAGTTAACTATCCGAAAAACATGCATTTACATGGCTAAATAAGCTTTGATAAACACAGCCTATAGTCGTAGGTATCGTTCATCTGCAGTTCGCCTTCAATTTCGCCATATAGGCAACATACCTGCACGAGAGCGCAAAAAGTTATCTACTTGAAACATACATTAATCTTGCTCCATGAGGTTTGGTTGAACCGCTAAACGACTTAACGCACCTGTTGGTAGATGTCATCCTTGATTTCTTTCCTTACTTGCCTATCCTATGACATCATTTATCTCTCTTGAGGTTACATTCGAAAATCGATGATATTTTAGCACTCAAGCTAGCAGAATCTCAATCTGAAAAATGTCCGCTCGCTTGTGTTACGAATTTTTCATCCACGATTTTTTGAAATTTTGAATGAAAATTTGAATTTTAATGAAAATTTTGTGAAAATTGCTCCCCTGAGATGTGTCTTCATGCATTGAAGTACATTTTTCAGTATACGACCACATTTTACTGTATTCGAAAATAAAAATGTATGCTTACACCGAAAATACGAAAGTATTTGCAAGCTCTTCCCCTTCAGAGCAAAACAAAATAAATATACATTTTTTTTAAAAGTCTAGGCCTCCTAAACAGCTCAACAGGACAATACTTGCGTATCTAAGAAGGATGCAATACCCGATTTCATTCCACATTTGCACTTGTTTTATCCGACAAAATTACCCGACGGGAAACCCCATACACAAATCCTCTGTGGTCTCAAAGTGGATCACAGGGAAACTTGCACAGAAAATTTATAAAGGGCACAGGTGATCAAGTTATTTTTTCCCTGAAAAAGAGGCTAAATAAATCAAAGTCTATACGGACGTACTTATGCTAAAAGGAACTATGTTACACGCAAACCATATGCACATAGTTCCTTTTAGCAGAAATACTTTCGTGTGGAGCGAAGTTACGCAGAAGGAAGGTGAGATATGTAAATAATGCATATGTAAAACGCGCATCGCCCAATGAGAAAGATCGGGTTGCTCTTTTGTAGGGAGTTGCCCGGATTTTACGGTTTTTGATTAAGGCCTGGTTGGCCTAGACTCTTTGTTCGACGAAAGATCTTCGCGCCTTCTTCGCATCGTTTGCAAACAATGTCAACGTAATTTTCGGTAGTCGGTGACAATTAGCTATACTTGTTCCCCACTTGTCATGTTCTAAGTAATTGGTCAAGAATGAAAACTATGATACTGAAATTTGCAAGAAAAGAAAAAGAAAAGAAACTTGAAAAAAATGATTGATTTGAACTTGCTTGTAACGATGGGAATGTTGATAAAGTGATTTCGTCTCTGATAACTTTATACGAGCTCACATCACATGCAGATCACGTGTTTTATCATTCGAAAAATTTTCAACTGTCATTTATAAACCTTCTTCAAAAATATGGTATGAATATTCGATGGTACGTAATTGTACCGCATGTTAGCGACACAAAACAATGGGGTAGGGGGCTGCACCACGGTGAACATCAAGCAAAACATGTGCATGATCTTAAGCGTATCGTGTACAGTTAATGACATCAAATGCGTTTCCTTTCCAAAGCCGCAATATGACGAGAATTTCATTTTCCATGAAATTTTGAGAATTTTTCTTCCAAGGGCTACGTATGCAACCCGCAACAATTATCCGACAATTCGATAAGAAACTTCGATATTTGACGCCCATACATGATTCTTTTTCCCCAAAAAATTTTGGAGATAAAATTGTGTTGTTTCGATGCGTTTCATGGCATACTGATTCAATTGCAGAAGGTTTAAGGAATTCCACTGTGAAATTCCACTTTCAAAGTTACGTGCAATTTTGCATCTCTGCTCATGGGAAAGTAGAATTGCGACCCCTTATTCATTAATGGGCCACGTTAAGCAGAAAAGAACCAAGCCACATCAGCTATATACAAATTTAATCTGGCAATTTAATTTTGTGCATGAAAACTTTCCAGTGAATATTTATGTAAATTTCAGTGAATTTTCTGCACAGCACGGAGGAAATTCCTTAAAATTGTCAAAGGAATTCGTACAGACGTTCTCTTGTAAGAAGTTAAAGTGCCCAGTTAAAGGCAATAACTGATGTGGCTTGGTTCCTTTCTCCTTAACGTGCTCCAAATAATAATCAATGCCCCATGACTTATTTATCAAATTACTCAAAATCGTACAGTACTTACCCTCAAGAAGTATTTCACGATTAAATCACCAAAAATCAAATCGAATAGAGGGGGCAGGGGTTGCGTTGGGTTTCCCTCCGCACTTTCCCGACACTTTTCGCGGGAATTCGTAACACGTGTCGAGGGATGAAAAACCGTCACGATGGGGTTATCCTCGGGGACCGATATCCTTGGGGCCCTCGGGCAGGAGTGTGCGGTGGATTCGGCGGGACCGCGAATTTGGGAGGGCGCGACGCGCGTGCGAGCTCCAGCAGCGCCGATGATGCGATTCGACCCGCCGCTCGCGCGATGCTTCCAACCTGAATAACCACTCGTTAGCAAGAACAAGAGCTCCCAAGCTCCGGCCACTTTAGCCTCCGGCCCAGGGGGGAGGCCTCCTTCCAGAGCCGAAAAAATGTTCAAATGTCACCGCGCGCGTTGTCAAATCGGAGATATGACGGATTTGAAAAGTTCTCTGAGAAAGTATGTTGGAGTTTCTGTCCAACGTGCGCTAAAAATTCAGCTTAAAGCTGAAAATCTCAATTTTATTGTGATTGAGATTGGAGTTTTCAGCTTTATGCGGAATTTTAAAGCACGTTGGCAAAAAAACTCCAACATATTTTCTCAGAGAACTTTTCAAATCCATCAAATCGGAGATATGATGGATTTGAAAAGTTCTCTGAGAAAGTATGTTGGAGTTTCTGTCGAACATGCGTTAGAAATTCAGCATAAAGCTGAAAATCTCAATATTATTGAGATTGAGATTGAGGTTGAGGTTTTCAGCTTTATGCGGAATTTTAAAGCACGTTGGCAAAAAAACTCCAACATACTTTCTCAGAGAACTTTTCAAATCCGTCAAATCGGAGATATGATGGATTCGAAAAGTTCTCTGAGAAAGTATGTTGCAGTTTCTGTCCAACGTGCGATAGAAATTCGGCATAAAGCTGAAAATCTCAATATTATTGAGATTGAGATTGAGGTTTTCAGCTTTATGCGGAATTTTGAAGCACGTTGGCAAAAAACTCCGACATGCTGTCTTACGACCCGTGCGTCCACCGCAATCGGTTTGTTTGTTTCTCTGAGACAAGTGAAAGTCGTTAAAAAGTTCTTGGAAATCCTTGGATTAAATCAGTCGATGTTAAACCCCCTCATGACCGAACAGTCAAATTTTACAGCAGAGAAAAGGGATACGTACAGAGTAAAGTTTTAGAAGAACCTCGGTAATAGCATTAAATGGACCGCCGCGTTAAGCAGAAAGGAACCAAGCCACATCAGCTATCGCCAAATTCAATTGGGCACTATAATTTTTACTAGAGAACGTTTGTACGGATTCCTTTGAAAATGTTAAGGAATTTGCTTCTTACTATGCAGAATTTTCACCGAAATTTTTGCAAAAATCCGCACAGTCGTTCTCGTGTTAAAAATTAAATTGCCCAGTTAAATTTGGCAATAGCTGATGTGGTTTGGTTCCTTTCTGCTTAAGGCGGTCAAAATATTTCTATGAATGTATGGAGTAGATCGTGACCGATTTTGCCAATCCTGCTTGATATTCTATGAGATATGCGCAAATTTAATGCCAAACAAGGTGGATTTTTCCTTGTGGATCGACCTGTAAGCTGACTTTTGTTCTCAAAATACACCGATTTTTTTATTATTTTTGCGTAAGTAATCTTATTCACACACATTAACCTGAATCATTTTTTGCGATTCATATTTTGTGATAAATTATAGAAATGTATGAATATAGAGGTGAGATCAGAGTGTCATCATTTCGTTTCAATAATGCGTTGTAAAGTTTTATCTGAAAATTACTCCCTTTAATTGTACGAGGACGGTTGAAATTTTGTATATAATTTTTGGTGTGAATTTTTTTAATAATTTAACGAAGATAACCTGGAATTTTTTATGTGAAAAATGCAACTCTGATGAATAAAAATTAGGCTGTCAATGAAACTTTTGAACGTTGCAATGCGATTAAGCTCGTCTGCTATTCACACACTCAATCTCATTCATCTACCCACAGCGTGGAATTTTGCGAATTGTTAATTTTGCTCCTAGTTCCATTACATGTTTATGGACAATACCTTACAATGGACCACTAGACAAGGAGCAAATTTCAGCATTCTGATAAATGTTCCTCAATCAACATTTCACGTAAAAAACGATGCGCACAACGAAAATTACCGAAATCACATCCTTACGAAGATATTCAATAATGCTTGATGCGTGAATTCAAACCGCTCGCTCATGAAAACTCAATGCTCTACGTGATTCACATCGCGCGCTAAACGTTTAGCATGACAGTCTCTGAGATATAAAAATCTGGCGACCTCAATCTTGACGCTTTGGCTCAGCTGTAGCAAATTGCTTAGAGTTTGGACAACACATGGTAGGAAATGAACATTGCTCGTTTGAAAAGCTTGCTGAAACCGATGTAGTGCTCGATTTGACTGACGTAGAGCTTTGAGTTTCTTGTGAGCGGGCAGTTCAAATTCCTCGTAACCAATGTGAAATAAAAATGTTAATATCTTCGTTTGGATTTTGTTTCATTAGTTTTCGTTGCGCAAATCGTGCTTTACGTGAAATTTTGGTTAAGAAACATGTATCAGAATGCTTGAATTCGTACCTTGTCTAGTGGTCCATTAATCAATTTAAATGCAATGAATTACATTTAAATTATTCTCGCCATCACCAGACAACCCTGGTAAAAATTGGCGATAAGAGCTGCGTTTCAAAATACCATAGGAATTCTTATAGCCGGCTAAAGAAGGCTACAGAAAATCATATAGCTGGCTGTAGAATGCGGAGCAAATCATACGGCCGGGCTATACGAAGCAATAAAAAATTATGCAGCCGGGCTATAGTTCCTATCGCCGGGCTTAACACTTTATCGCCTGGCTGTTGCTTTTTCGCCATCGATTATAAAAGGCTATAAGAAATTGTGTAGAAATTCGTGTGCTTTGGAAATCATAAGTTTGATACGGAACCACCTTAATATTTACAAATCACACATTATATTTTCCTTTGATACATATTTTTTTTCATCAATTAAAATGAGAATAATCCATACAGGATGTGCAAACATTTCAAAATCATGAGTTGAATAACGCTGACTCCGCCAGATTAAATATTTGAGCCTAACACAAGGCGGAGCGGCGACGCACTGGCGCCTACAAACCTAACAGGGCTACTTCACGCATTACGCGATGCGTGAAGTATCCCTGTTAGGTTTGTAGGCGCCAATGCGTGTTTTGCGCTGGTTGCCCGCCTGCCACGGCGCTTGAAGCAACTATTTCACACCAGAGGTATTGCACAGTATCATACGAAATCGAAGGCGCTCTAATATATTAGGAATGGCAGGCATCCATCAAAAGTACGGAGCTTTCCTCGCAAAATAAATCAAGATACTACGGCCCAAAAAGAGAGCAGTATTCCAAAAACTCACTGAGTCCTAGCATCCGTAATTAGTAACGTTTAGCATACACTTTATCGCCTGGCTGTTGCTCAGTCGCCATCGGCTATAAAAAGCTATAAGAAATTGTGTAGCCGGCTATAGAAGCTATTGGAAATCTTACAGCCGGCTGTAGGTGTATGGTATTTTGGAACACATATTCTACTGCCAATTTTTACCAGGGAAAGTAGGGTTTCAAAACTCGTCCACCAGAGTAGCTGACCCGTATGGGTTGGTCATGGTTTGGAAGTTGATATTACTACGATGCGAAAACAGAGGACAACAAAAGGCACGAACACGAGAGGAGCGTATCCTCTGGCCTACCTCGAAAATTGAAGGCGAAATAATAAACGACCTCCATACTCCCGTGTTAGTGTCGATTATATTTAGGGTATTAATTAGTCGATTAGGGGCTTCTGCCCCTACACCTGAGTGTTCTTGCACCTGCATTCCATCGGATGAAGTACTGGATCTAATGAGTCTCTCAGTGGGGCACTCGATACGACAACGTGGTCTAGACGCAGAGCTTTTAATCCGGGATTCGGGCATGTGCGGCTTATTGAGCGGGTGCGTGGTGATGTCTTGACAAGATGTTTTCTTGTCGATACCTCGTTTTATCACTCACTCAACTTTCGAGTACCCATCACCCCATCGCATCCAACTATTGCAACAGACGCCCACTCTAAGCTCATCTGCACCATCCCTCGTTGCCGAACCTGGAATAAAAGTCGATGAATTTGTTTGATGTTTCTCTACGTCGCATCAGGGGGAATTTCTTTCTCTCGGAAAATATACTGAAACTTATGCGTTCTGCCGTAACATTATCATCCTAAACAGCACAACAAAGTACTTCCGAACCCTAGCGGACAATCTCTTACTGAATATTACAGACAACATTACACATAGAGGACAACTGACGGAGCTATCTAAACATCGATTGTTTTCATAATTCCAATTCGTACCAAAAAATTTGAGGGGAAAAAACTTGCGCCGAAGGCTGTAATCCACCGTTTTTTGGGAGAGGGTCGACTTATCGAATAAAAATATCCACAAACGAAATCGCAGAGTTTTAAAATCCATCCTCCTATTTCAAAATTCCAGGCACGCGGCGCGCGTGTTGGCTCTAACAATCATTCATTCTAAGCATAAGGCCGAAATAAATTGAGGTAGGTGGAATTGTTTGACTGGAGCTTTGACGCTACCGTACAAATCGATACTTTCTCCAGACTTGCCGACTGAAGTCCAGTCAAAACAGGTCCATCGCCTCGACTCTTCAAGATCAATCCAGTGACCAAGCGCGGCAATACTTCCAAGCTGCGAAGGTGTTGCGTCACTCATTGTCTCGCGGCGTTGCCGCTGGATAAAAAATTTGACCACGTTAGACAGAAAGGAACCAGGCAACATCAGCTATTGCCACATTTAATCGGGTGATTTAATTTCTTACGTGAAAAACGGTTCGACGGATCTTTGTGTAAATTGTAGAGAATTTACTGCATAGCACCAAGCGAATTTTTTAAAATTTTCAGAGAAGACTGCTCAAACGTCCTCTTGTAATAAATTAAATAGCCCGGTTAAATATGGCAATACGTGATGTGGCGTGGTTCCTTTCTGCTAAACGCAGTCCAATCGTCGCTTCCACTAAATCAATTGTCAACAAAGTACCTATATTCACTGTCACATTAGAGCCGGATTCTACTACCCCTTCGACAAATAATCCCTTAAATGCAAAAATTTAAACAGTGGTGACATAGGCTGAAACTTTTGATGTGGGTGCGTGGGAGGGTGGGGGGTGGGGGTTATTAAAAACGAGAGGGCAGGTCTGAAGGGTGTCCTCCCCAACCGGAAGGGTCCTCCTCAAGACATTTTCTAAAATGAGGTATGTCTAGAACGGAATTTTCGGCTGTTTTTCGCAGTAAAATATCACCTTTATGGAAGGGGGGGGGGGACACAGAGCTTTCATACACGAGTAGAGGTTCGGTGTCCTGTCAACTGTAGGTCAAAATACCAGTGAGCGACTACCGGGATTTGCGATTCCCCTCCTCCCTTAGTCCCTCTCCAGCCACCAATGAAAAGTTTTTCGAGCAAAAATTGCATTAAGTGAGCGAACTGAAGAGTGAAAGATCGCCAGAAATGACGGAAATTCTATGTACACATATACTAGCATATGATTTCTCAAGCTTGAGAGTTTCAAGCCGAAATCGTTTCTAAAATTAAAAAAAAAAAAAAAAAACCTTACTTTCGGAACCCAAAGTTGAGTTCAGATGAGCTACTAAACTAACTGTGTGACAAAGCGTGGAGTATCAATGGAACCTGAAGGCGTTCCAAGTCGAAATCTTATTTAAAAGTCCACTTAACCCACGAAATCCTCATTTCATTATCATCGATTAGTCGCATGTGCATCACTTACTTACTATTTCTATACAAATCCTTAAAACCATGATTAAATTTGAGACTCAGATGTGTCAACTAGTGTCAACTCAGTGCAAGCGCCAACGAATTTTTGCTGAGAATTTTTTAATCCCATATTGAAAAATGGACTAATAAAGGCCATACCTGAAAAACAATATGGCACCTCTCTGGACACTTAAATCATAAACCATGTTCGGATCCGACAGCTCCCTGCCGGTGACGCGCAACGTGAGTTGAAGTGATATGTGATTGAGCGCAGCCGCCCGCAACGCAATATGGTCCAAAACTCAAGAATAGAAATAAATAAGTAGGATAATGACTTGTTTCTTGAGTCGCTAAATTCGAATTTGATGTCAAATTGCCTAAATTTTAACAGCTTGACTTGTTAATTGTGGGCAAGTTTATGGCACGCTGCGGCGCGGCGTGCTGCCCGCTCGAAACGTGTACTGACGCCTACAAACCTAAGTGAATACTTCAAGCATTGCGCAATGCGTGAAGTATTCCGTTAGGTTTGTAAGGCGCCAGTGCGCGTTACGCGCTGGCAGCACGCTGGCTGCGGCTCTCCCGACGGGCGGGTGTAAGCGATGGAAATAATTTTTGAAAATCCCGCAAAACTTCGAGTGTCGACGGTGGCCGGTGTGTCGGTGCCTTGCCGAAAATATGACCTTGAAAACATAACGTAAACAAAGCGCGCCGACTTCCTTATCTTATCAACTGCTGTGTGTTTTATTCTACGCTTTTTTTCATCTATTCATCCATCTAAATTATCAGGGATTCTGTTTTATTCGACTTTACGATATCCAGAATCTTTATCCGATTACATTGAATTCAGTTTGTTCTTTCCAGTCGAACGTGAGTGCCGTTGTTCAAGCCCCTCAACTTTAAGCTCAAGGCACTTCCTCCATCTTCACCATGCCGGTATTCAAAATTGAAACTAATGTCCCGAAATCCAAAGTGCCCGCAGATTTCCTTAAAACCACCACTGCCTTGGTGGCAAAAACCTTGGGTAAACCTGAGAGTGTAAGTAATCCCCCTCAATTTACAGGACTTAGTTTTCACAGGTACCTATCCGTCTTGTTCTTTCAAAACTGTTTTCTTCTTCTTGCAGCCCCTCTCTGCTCTATGACATAAGTAATCTTTGACAGACGTAACATATCAGTCATTTGGATACCAAAAATATCCTTTTTCAAAGCGTTAAATGAGAAGCCCTTCAACTAAAGTACAGCCGAGTGAATACGCTCAATCCATGGTTAAATTATTGAAAGTTGGGAAATAATCAATTTGGATGATCTGCTTATTTATGCTGCACTGTCAAACTGTACAGAATACTCTTCATTACATCATTTATGATGTCTCCAATCGACAAAATTTCTAGAACTGAGGAAAGAAAAGGACATTTGTCTCTCCTTTTCTTTCCTAAGTTTTAAGTGCTTCTCTCATCCAACTGAGGATTGAATGCTCATCATCATAACGTTTGCACCTACAAATGTAGTGACCTGAGGGTTTATGCAATGAATATAGTGTGTACAACTCCGCAGCTCTGAAGTCTTAGGGGCCACCAATAATATGGCCCAAAGAGGACTGTGTATTAAGTGTCATAATTCTAAGCGGTATTTCATAGTGGAAGGAATATTGAGTAGAGTGCCAAAAAGCTTTAAACTGAATTGGAAAGTAACGAACAAGGAATAGAGGGAAGAAAAATTGGACGTATTTCTGTCAAACGGAACTAAGTGCCAATTTGAGTTCCTTTTGAGGAGTTTAGAATGCGGGATAGCGTGTTCTGTCAAACGGAAGTAAGCCCCATGGAAAAGCATTGCGAGCATAGGATGGAATGAGCCTGACGCCCGGTTCTGCTGCCAATCAAAGCCCCCCTCTACCTTCCTCCCCCTATGACGCTTAGTTCCGTTTGACAGAAGTACGTCCAATTGAAGTGATCACGTCAGCTCATTACAACCCTGACGCATTCATCATCGAGGCCCCTCGCCTATTTTTAGGAGATATTTGTGCTATGCCGCAGTCGCTTTTGCATCATGAAATTGTTATTTCACGATAAGTTTATTTATGTTCTCAGTATGTAATCGTTCAAGTAGTACCAGATCAGATGTTGTCATTTGGTGGAAGCACGGAAGCAGCGGCCAACTGTCTGCTCATGAGCATCGGAAAGCTTGGCTTGGAGGAAAACAAGAAACACTCAAAAGTCCTGAGTGCACATCTTGAAAAAACTCTTGGAGTGTCTCCAAACAGGTACAACTTTCAGATAAATACACCCTCTTTTGTACTTCACTTTAGTTTAAAATAATTTGTATGCATTCGAATAGTTTTTTTCCGAAGTTGTACCTTGAGGTGGATCAAAATTCGAGGATGGAACAGAAAGTAATGCCTCCTTAGTTTCCTTGAAATTGGCCAGTTATTAACCACGTCCCATGAGACCTCAGCTGTAGTAAGATTGGGACAATTTCACAAATTTAACAAATTGACTGACCCTCGGAAACCACAACTTCCTTGATAAAATTTGGCTACTCAAAAAATGGGAAATTCAATTCTGTCAAACATTTTTTATTGTGATTTCTGTCTAGAGAGTAGTTCTGTCATGAAAACCTAATATGCATCTCCTGTTTCAGGAGCATTTAGTCAGACATTGTGGTGATGGAAATAAGCGCTTATTTCATCTTTTGAAAGAGAATAAGTAAATTTTTCTCTAAATTACCTAAATCTCATGTTTTCAAAAACGTTCAGTACCTTCCTCCTCTTTTTACCTACTGGAGGCTTATATCATGAGGCAGGAGGCTGTAGCAGTCTAGATTTTTCAAAGAAACTTTTAGATTTGCAGCTCGATTGTTGTTTGTGTCGGCACGACAAGAATCGAAAATCAATATATTACACGGCGCAGACAAGGCTATGTCTTGTCTTATCGTGCTGATATAGCCAGTTAAAGTTTCAACAATCCAGCTGCAGAGCACATTACAAAAAGCAAGATTTTCTTAATTCTCTGACATCAAATGAGGTCAATGATACTACATATTTTTTTTGGTTTTTTCATGGTTTGCTCTTACATAAAATTGGCCCTAATTTTTGGTAATTTTTCTTCCAGAATGTACATACAATTCTCGGACCTGCCCAGCAAAGATGTCGGCTATGATGGATCTACATTCCATGATCTTCTAGGCTGAAAGCTATTGATTGAATGTTTGTATCCCTCCCTTTATTTCGAAAAAGGATCAAAGATGCCTGCGCTTCTCCGTATTTTTAAGTCTAACTCATTTCAGCAACAAGTATTCTTAAGTTCTTGGTTATTTTTTCCTAATTTGTGATTTTTCAATTCAAGTGTCAATATTGCCAGTTAAACTGGACACTTCAGTTTCTGTTTCTTGTTTTTGTACCTTCAAAAGAATATCGCCCCTTTAAAATTAAAATTTTTATCAAAAATCACAATTTTTTTTCATTGCAACAATCCATTTCCTCGACTTTCTACATTAAATTATTCTGTATTCTACCCACTATTATGTCACTAACTGTGAACTTTCGCCAGTCACATCTTCTCGTTCTTCATATCCAAGCCTCCCATTCTAAACTCACACCAACTTCATCAATGTCAACTACGACACAAGCTGTCATTCCGCTCTCAACTGTTCACAACACCTCATTCTTTCCCAGCTCAAACCACTTTTAAAACAATGAAAACGTGAATTTCAACTAACCCTTGGGATGACATTCCCATAACCCACCTTGTCCACCCCTCACGTACCCAATCTCACCAACACAGTATCAGCGAAAAAAGGCGTTTAGCCAATGTCTTAGAACATTTATACGTTCAGCTTTTAAAAAATGTTATATAGAATGTTTATTGACCAACATATTAACCAGGGTGTCTAGTTTTTTTTTTTTTTTTTTCACTATGGGAAATCCTGATTTTTGACTGCTAAATCCTGATTTCATAATTTTTCCAAATCCTGATTTTTGCGGGGAAAAATTAAAACTTCACAGAAATAACTTGATTAAAAAATCCGATAGGACGGCCAACTTTTTTCAAATCCTGATTTTTCGATTGATTTTTCCTTAAATCCCGATGAAATCGGGATTAAGTCCTAATTGACCTCGAATCCTGATAGAAACCGGAAAATCCTGATGCTAGACACCCTGCTACTCAGCCCTTTTAGTTCAAGAAAATAAATATTAACCATTGTGGCATTGGTGAAGCTATCTATTTTAGGAGAATGACAATTATTTTTTGATAGGTAGACTGTTAATTGCTCGCAGATATTCTTCAAATAGGCTGATGTAAACTATTAATAGTACAAGCTTTATTTAAATTTTAAAGATTTGAAATTTTCAAAAAAGAACGTAAGAACCAGAGGTGCTTAATTTATTGTTGCAACTGAAGTTGCAAATTTTTATGTAGCAACCCATTTTCCCCCTTTTTTTGTGAAAAGGTGCATTTTTTAAATAAAAATTTGCCAAATTGCAAGAGAATTCACAAGTAAGTTGAAATGGAAAAACCATTCACTGGTTTGGTTCCTCAGATCTATGTTGGATCAATGTAGTCAGATCTAGAAAGCTATAAAATGAATCAATTAAATCAAGGTAACTTGGTAACATTCTTCACTCATAACTAAGGCTGGATACACTTCCAATTATTGAAAATTATTGCATTTAACTCAACTAACTTGCGAAGTAACTCAAGTCCAGCAAAGTCAGGAAGAGAGGAGACCTACCTTAACTGAGGCAAGAATTGAATTTTATGAGTTACACAAAATAACTTACATTCTTTAGGTATGAATAAAATCTTATAATATTACATTACATATACAATTGATTACATCTTATGAAAAATAAATAAATCACAGTCTTTGTTTGGATTACCTAATTTTAGTTGGACTGGAAAATATCATTTTAATGACAATAAAGGTATAAACGCTCTGAATACAAATTAGTAAACTGAAATATGTACGTAAAACTGTTAGGTCCAGTGACACCCTGACTCATCAGTAGACCAATTTTAAACCTTTACAATTTTAAATCAAGACCAATCCACACAGGTCAGTTATTGCGCATCTTTTTGAAAGCCACTTCCCCGCCCGGCCCTAACTCGGCGGCACTCAATGCTACGTCACAATGGGTGCTCCCATAAGAAATACATTGCAGGCACTCAATACTACATCATTGCGCAGTAGAGTACCAAAACTCATCCTCGGGAATGACTGACCTGTGTAGATTGGTCATGTTTTAAATCAACTATGACAGAAAATTTTCAAGGAGAGGTCGTAAAGCTATAGGAGTTTCTCATCACAATAACAGGTGGTCCTTAATCCCTGGCAGAGAATGAAGTTCGTAAAGGCTGAATATTGTTTTTTGGATCCCTGGAATGGCTTTTCCTTAAGGCTGTTGCAGCATGTGTTAATTGTAAGGCGCAATCTGGGTGGGCGCCACCCGGCAAACAAGTGCACTCAGTATCTAAAGTTGACGCCAACCGATCCAGAAGTTCGATGAAGCCATAGGAGATGGCTACACGGCGCACTTTGTTCAATTCCTGCAAAAAATGTTGAGGTTAACAAAGTTGGACAAAACGACAAGGTTAAAGAAGACTTGAAATCTACTATAGGATGAAAATTACAGAAAGTGAAATTTTTTCTGTAATATATCATAGCCTCTTATGAATTCATTGTCAAGAAAATTGATTTTGAATCCTGCAAATCAAAGTCACCTTTAATGAAATATTTTGCAAGGTTCTCGAGATACGAAACTGTATTAAGGAAAACTAGGTGTACGTTTTACTTCAGGAGACAGTCACACGACTCAACATGATTCCAGCCCATTAGGGTTCCTACACTTTCAAAAGCAATTATATTAAGTGGTGGAATTAATCTGCATGTGTAACAAATTTTTGCAGTTTTTGAAAGCATTTGCTGAAAACAAATCCTAATTTAATTGAATAACGTAACTGACTTACATACTTAATTTTCTGTGTTGCATTTATTTTCAAGATGCCTTGATGGATCCATAAATTTTTCAAATGCTTCATTATACATTTTTATTGATGTTTAAAGATGATTATGGACACGATATAATAACTTGACAAGATATAATTCTCAGAGCTATCGGGAGAAATTAGTTGGTAGTAAATGTACTTCAACTTGTTTATATTTTAGTTACAAGTTTTAAGTCTTGAAAATGCGGTAAAAATTTCAAAGGACTGTTTTGAATAGTTGAGAGACTTTTTGATTATAAAAAAAAATGAGAGCAAAAGAAGCCTCTTGATTGAATACAACTGAATTGCAAGTAGAAAACAATGGACTACTAAACAGGATGCAGTACCAACTTACATGTTTCCATATTGAAAGTTTACTTGTATTACAATAGATGGATTAGGAATTTCCACATTCGACTAAATGCGAGGAAAGACAGATTTTGTCTAAATTGATTCACACTTCCTGCTTAGCAAAAAACCAAACTCAACTTGGGTAAAATTGAGCACTGAACTAATTTTGGTATATTATACAACGGAAGACTTTACCTGTGCACTGGCTTTTTTTTTAAGATTATAATCACCGTGTATCAGAAGTGGCAGAAAATATGTGTGAAGCCAAGCTCTTGTTCTTTGCCTGTCAAAAATGTGAGTTAATTTCAACGCCTAATTTGGCGTACTTTGGTAGTTGATCGTGGTTTTTTTGTGAGCGGGAAGTTTGAATGTATAATGTAATCTACTAAGATTTATTTCTCATCTATGAGTTAATTTGGAAGCTTCTGATAAGTTCTAAATGAAATTTTGAGGAGAAAACATCTGCTGTGGTAATAAATTTCTTATCCTGTCTAGTGGTGCATGGAGTCAAATAACTAAACAAAATTCAAAAATGGTTAAAGAAATTTCCAACACTCACCTTGTAGAAATGCTGTGTCTTGTCAGGTATTTTTCTGGCATGCCTCACTATTTTTTGAATATCCGACAGAAGACTTGCATGATTTATCCAAACGACAAAGTTTTGAGCATAGCTTCTCTTCTCTGCTGGCTTTATTGGGAACAGTTCATCTGGTTCTGTAGTAAGACAGGGAAAAAATAAGGAGAGTTTTTTAGGAAATGGTATCACAAAAAAGAAGTCCGACTGTTCAATAGTGTCCCAAGGCCTGCCGTCACTAATAGCATCAATGGTTTGATAAATATGAATCAATATTAATTGAAAATACTGAGAGAAATTCTTAAACATCCTATAGAATTTTGAGACGATATTCCGGTTTTTTAAGTTTGGGAGAGAACTTTGGTAATCAGGGTATCTACAGAATCACTGAGAAAAATTACAGACTTTTCCGAAATGTTTCTTGACTTTTTCCTAACAATTCTGTCAAGTTTGCAATGTCAATTGAGACTTTAGTGACCTTTAAATATTCTCAGGGAATGTTTGTCACATGCCAAATGTTGACAAAAATCAATAAGCTCAGATTTCTTTGGGATTTATTTGTATTCAAAATAGAAAGATGGGAATAGATAGCATTGATAATGTCTAAACCTTCATCAAGAAAATTGATTCATTTCATTTAAATTTATTTTCTTAAACTTTTTTCCAAAGCACCTTTTTCGAAACAATCTATTCAACTGAGTTGCTCATCCAAAAAAAATTGCAATTTTTCCCAAACCCGTAGAACAAAGTCCCGATTTTTTTTCCGATTTCCAGGCTTACATAAAGAAATTGTTGAATTTCGTCAAGCGAGTATACATTACCTAATTCCCTGTTCTTTGGTAGACCAAGATAGTTGAAATTGCCAAGCCATGGCACAGAATTTGAACCAGGTTCTAGTACCGTTAACATTAAATTCGATTTCTTTTTTGAGTCTGCCCAGGAGTAGAGGATCCCAAACCAATCTGGACCCAACTGGCACAGTGCCGCCATATTTTCCACCTAAAAAATTAAATTAGACACATTTACTATTTGCCACTCAGATGATAACAACATGTGATTGTTTGTTTTTGTGCAATGATTTGAATTGTTCATTTTTAGCAGTCTATGATAAAAAATCTGAACTGGCCTCCAAAAATTAATTTATTTTTGGGTCAATTCTAATAAATAAACACTAATTTAAAAATAAATGCTAAGTTAGTAGTCGCAACTGTTATTTAAGACCACTGTGTACCTAAAAAGAAATGAAAGAAAATTTGGAGAAAATATCCTCAAAAAGCAGAAGGCCTCTGCGACTGGTCTAGAAAAAAAACTAAGTTGAAGAAATTAAAACAAAAACTTTACAGACTGGCTTCAATAAACATTGAGGCTATAATAAAGATTACAACTAATAAAGCAGGGTGCTCACTTTCAATGCACCGTGAAGAAGAACACAAAACGAAGGTGCTTTGCCATCATCGGCGTTTTCGTCGTCGGATTCAGAGTTCGGGTTGACTTTGACTGGATAGTTGTAAGTAGAATTAGTCTCGGGCAGGACAAGATGGCGAGACACAGCTGCTGGGCTGGCTACATCTGATAGGTCCAGGAAGCCACAGATCTCAATTGTATTCGACATGCTGACGGTAATCATTTCAAAGTCTGTCGGTTTGATATACGGCTGAAAAACATAAAATTTAGAACTTATTTGGAGTATTCAAAAATGCATCGGAGTCTAAGAGTCTCTAGGTCTTAATTTTGACTTAAAACTGAAGTCTCTTATCAGGATACAAGAAAAATAGAGCGATAGAAAAATTCTAGAGAAAAACCTCATGAAAAATTGGGGGCTTAAAGGAGCAAAAACCTGAATTGAGTGGTTTGCACCAGAAATGATACAGTGAGCAAGCCAGCCTCAGCGGTGTGATAGGTAAGGCAGTTTACTGCAAACTTTCAGGTGCTGCATTCGATTTAAATTGAGAAAAGTTTGAAAAAAGTTATGAAAGTTTAATTAAGAAAGTACAGATGGCACAAGATTTTTGCGAATCTGCTGCTTCTTCACAGTTTATTGAAGAATCATTTCAACTCGAGTTTACAGACAAAGCTAAAAATTTCACCTGGATCTCTTTCATAACACTCTAACATTTCAACAACTGTAATGCTGTCAAAGAAAAATCCGTTGCATTTAGTGCCAAAGGTGGAAGGAAAATGATCAACCATTGATAAAAAATTAATTGTTTTACTTCACAGAGCTTTTTGTCCTTAAACTTCGACTTATTAAGGAATTGCATTCAGGCTCCTTACCAAGGGGGTCGGAGAGAGAGATATTTTACTCCGCAGGTTTCCACAGACCAACTGTCCAGTGAAAGAGGAGTAATTTTCTTCTGCCATACTCAGAAACATAGATGCAACATTAACAGCAGTTGGGTCTGAGTGAGGGCGTAGAACACAACTTTCCTTCCCGGCTAACTCAACCAGTTTTTCCAGATGTGTCAGATCATCATTAGGAGTTGATATTGTCAATGCTGTTAACTTTCCAGGAAATGAGAAAGGCAAAGGAATGGTAGGTGACTGAACTATATTTTTTAGAGATGTTGGTCCAATCCCGGGTGAGCCATCTGTTACAAGAAGAACCTGCAGGACAAATTTCCACACAAATAAAAGTCTTAATTTCTAGGAGGGGGATTACAAAGGTAATAACTCAGATGTGGAGAAACAACTAGGATGATAGCAAATGATGAGAATTCAAAATCTTTTTTCCTAAATTTAAGTACTCAGTACGTTATTTGTGATGACTATCCATGGAAAAACCGAACTTAGGGCTTTATCGTTTATCAAGTGATGAGACAAAGTCAAATTTTGTTCCCATTCATACACATCAAAGGTGCCATTAGAGCATACGTATCATCTGGTTGAGTGGTGCTGCTTCAAGGCTGATCAGAGATTGACATTAGTCTCAACATACGATGAGCAAACTCTGGTGCCAAAAAGCTCAAAATTGAGTATATGGTACCATTGCTTGCAGGAGTTTTTCATAAAAATTTTAGTGCACTTGATTCTCAAAACTTTAAGGCCAAATCGCCATTATAACAGTTTAAAGTTAGCATTTAAAAAATTTAGTTTTGAGATACAGCTATTTGAATTTACTCAGCGCTTAACGTTCCTAAATTATGATGAAACTTTACCTTAATTGGCACAAAAATGGACGTATTTGCTTGCACATTATTTAGCTGAGAGCAGCCATGCGTTTCCCTCCAAAAATTTGCCTCCTCATACTGGAGACCTTTATATTGTAAACGCTGACAATTTTAGTAAAACATCCTGGGAAACCAACTTTGGAAGGCCTCATGCTCCTGACCTACGCCTTCAAATTAAAGATTCTTTGATGGTCTCCAGCTTGAATCCTGTCAGAGGAAGGATCGAGAGAGTGCCACTAATATCCTCCAGAAAATACACCAAGTAACACGCAATCTTAAGAGACCATAATGATATTCTATTTCAAGAGAGTAGGTGGGACGGATTGAGCATCACAAAATAATTTTTGTTTGATGAAAAAAATTTTTAAGGTTTTATCAGTATGTTGATCAAACACTAAAAGAGCAGTCACTCGTTACACAAGAGCTAACACATACCTGACATGGTGTGGAGCTGCCCCACTCGCGCAAAACAAATCCATTGATGGCAGTCAAGACAGGCTCATAACAAGTTTTATCCAGCTCAATAATCTGCGACAGCTTGGATTTGATCTGATCAAAATCGCGTGTGAATGGGTTAATGACATCCACTAGAGATGAGTAGGTCATCTGAAATAAGTATTCAAGTCAGCATATAATCTTAGGAGTTTTATGATGGGAGTGTTTGTCGACTGAGTCTAATAAAGCTACCATAATAAATGGAAGAGGGGAAAGAACGACACACGAAAAATATGTAAGGCACTTTTTTGCATTTATCCTCAATGTACTTTTCAAGTACAGGTAATACTTTACAGGTGTTTCAGGGCATATTGGTGATCAAAGTGCAAAACAGCATACCTAGTCAACATAATTTCTAAGTAACTTACTTGATTTACTTGAACTACTTTTCTACTTGCAGACTATCTTGTATAAGTTTCAAGCTATAAAATTGGCTTGTTTCTTTCCGAAGAAATAAAATAGGAGCAGAAATTTTAGAATACCACAATGGAGATAGGTAAGCGATTCCTCACTTAAGCCATTGATATGCCGAACAGGTCACTTTTTCAATTCATGAATCAAATGCTGCGGAAGCTTGACACCGCTCCATCTATCTTAAATATGAATGACAAATTTAAATTATTCTTTACCTCCTGTCTTTTCATTGAGCCCGTATCAGACGATCAAACGAGAGGCTTCATCGATGCCGTTCCTGGCCCTCTCATTGGCCAGCGGTTTAAGTCAGGGAAATCGATGAGTCCTTTTGCAGCCTCTACTTTGATCGTCTGATTCGGGCTTTACTAATCTAAAAGCTATGAAATATTTCAGTAGAGATATATTCACAAGGAAAAATAAGAAATCCACTACATAAAAGAGTGGGACTCCTGAGGGCAAAATGGAAAAAAATAGGATGAATTGTAATAAAAAGTCAGTTAAAAGATTCAAAAGGAACAAATTCAAACTAGAGGCATTGTCTTGACTCAGGCATTTTGACAATGTACTTTACCCACTCTTTCTACTAGGGCTGATCGTGAGTAATTCTCCAGTCTTCTTTCGTTAATGGCACATAGCCATGCCTACCTTACTTGCATTTCAAGGAAAGATAAAAGTAAGGTAGAGACAGCTAGAAGTTGATAGTTTGCAAGTCACACCTTTTTGCCTTTGTTAGTGAACCATTGGCTTCCTCACTTCAGTGCGGATCGAAACCTTTTAACTTGATCAAACCACAGTCAGAGCCAACTTTAAACCATCACTTTCAATCTTTCTTTAAAACAACTTTCTTTTCAGTGGTAATTTCTTCATGGAGAATTTTTATTGACAAATCTCCTTCTTACAAGCAGTTTGTAAGTAACATAATGCAGGGCCTCTGTCTAAATGTAAAAAAGAGAAAATTAACAAACCAAAGCTACGAATTCAAGTTTGCAGTGCAGGGCCAGATAATCAAGTAGTGAGTTGATCCCTTTAACAGCCAGTTGAAGCCTTGTGTAGACCTCGCCAGACTCAGAGTTGGCAACTGGACAGGCCATGGACAAGGAAACATCCAGAACGATAACTGTAGGCATTATGACAGAAACTGCAACTCCTTCAGCAATCTAAAATACCAATTTATTCTACATTGAAACGTCGGTCAAAAACCACTCTTAAAACATTCTGAAAAGGCAGACATCATTCTCTGACACAAGTGCTATTCAAAAATTGGTCTTGCCACAGGAAAGCTTGGTAGAGAGTAAGTCTTGCAAGACTTACTGAAGTGAGACCTTACTATTAACTCAACTATACAGTTTCCACTTTTATAAAACTAAAATTAAGCAAATCATGTTAGCATAAGACTACGCTAACCTTGCAAAACTAGAAATGCCAGAAGAAAGTTGAGTACTTTGTTTTGCTATGGACACCTAATTCAGCGCCTAACAGCTCACTGGACAGTTGCCTAAGAGAATGGAGAGGCCATAACAACCCCGTTTCAAACTAGTAGCGTAATCGCCGTGTTAATCAATCAGAACCGCCGTCAATCGGCCGAAGTTGCATGAGCGGCGCCTTTGAATCTTAGTGGGGTGACGATTTTTGGTATTTAGTCGTGTTTAGCTTTACTTCCTCAATTATCAGACGTTGTAACTTATGAACTAGGCGGTTTCCTGATGTGAAATTTTATCTTCTTTCAAAAAGGTTCTTAAGAATTTTTGCATCAGATCAACAACAGAAAAAATATTAGCACAAAAGGGACATGTGTCATGCATTCTCTCATGAGAACACATGTTAAATCGCAGCCGAGTCCCATGTCACAGAATCGTAGTTACGGCCTCTCTATTTTCGAAAGGAATGACTGGACATGCCAGGCAATAATAGGTCAATAGCGCTAGTCACAGAATCGTGTTTTGATGCTTGATTCTTATGGATTAGCTAAAAATAATATGATCCATCCAAACCGCAACTTTTTACGATCGATATTAACCGAGATATCGCTCGTTGAAAAATCAGATTTTTGACGTCATCCACTGCGGTAGTGACACCTGTGGTTTCTTCCACCTTGATTTCATTCAAGTTTTACATTGAGTAACCAACGCGTCACTGACTGATGAAAGTAGGTAAGGTTGAAGATACCACAGGTGTTACTACCGCGGTGGATGATGTCAAAAACCGGACTTTTCAAAGGGCAATATCTCGGTTAATATTGAACGTAAGAAGTCGCTGTTTGGACTTATCTTGTTATGTTAAACTGGTCTGCAAGAGTTAAGCACCAAGACACGATTCTGAGACCAGCACAACTGACCTATTAACTCAATATCATAACAAAAATTTCTGGTCCCAAAGAAGACTGGGGCCTTTGAAAGAATTCAGCTGCGGAGGCAATTAGGATATCACTGGATAAAGGCAGTCAAATTTTGCTCTGTTGCCACCTCTGTGGCTGGAACTGCAGTAAAAATTGGTCGTCCGGTGAAATTTGATACATTCGACCATAAGAAGTAACAGCTCAAAAATCCCAGTCTCCTTGAAAAGAGGAGCCATTCTTAAAGAAATTAGTGGGTGCGCTCACCGAGAAAAATATTCAGGAAAGAGTGAACCTCAACCTTGCTCCTTCCGAGGAGAGTTTACGATAATCATTTCTTGTGCTTCCATGATTAACTGACTTGATCTGCTGATGGCATAGCTCAAGCGTGGAGATGAGACATGATTGTGCTTAGGACCCAGAGAAAATTGATGAGATAATTACGAATTGTATTCATTGAAGGCATTCCGGTAACTTAGGTAGTAGATGCACTGAATGAGACAGAATTGTATGGACAAAAACTTGTCTCTGGCGAAACCGCAAAACTTTTTGATTATGAACTTTGAACTAACCTCAAAATTTGATTGTTTTTGTGTTTAGATGATAACGGTTTCTGATTGGCTATTGATCTGAACTGCAGTAAAAAGCACCAAATTTTAAATTGACGCTCCTGCTCCACGCGAGCGCAACTGCACCGCACCCGTCGTCTCTTGTTCACTTGACGCTTTCGAAAAAAGACAAATTATTTACTTCTTACTCTACAAGCGATCACACTTTTACCCCTTGAATAGTGCTCTCTTGAGGCAAGAGGCCTGCGCTCCATGTTTTCCCGCAGAAATATGGGCATATCATAGAGACCCGAGAATTTCTTGCACAATTTCCTCCATTTTGAAATCATTTATAGGTAAATAATGTGTATACTAGGGAAGGAGAATGAAACAAATAAACTAGAAAGTCACATTTGAAGCAAATGTGACCACGCGGGCAAGGAAATTTGAAAAATCCTGCAAATGTGGATGTAAATGGACGTGTATTCTGAGCTACAATCGTCAAAGAAATCGATGGGCAAGGTGGCAAGTATTCAGAAATTTTCAATGGTCCAAAATGTTGCTGTGGCAATACCTATTCATGGTGGATTTTCGGAGGCAAAAATTCCTGAGAAACGTGGAGAAAAGTCCCCTCTTTGGGAAAATGTTTGGGTCAAAATAGAAATCGCATGTGTGCCCCCCCCCCCCCCCCGGAGGTCCGCTCGCTTCTCAATTGCGAGCAAATAGGAGATCTAATCTCGTCTTCGGAGGCCACTCAACATTCATCTGTCCTTTCCTGCAGCCTGACATATTTACCAATTGTGCAGGAGGTTACTTACAAGCACGATGCGAGGGAATTTGATTTCGGTTTCCTGCCGAGATGTTATGAACCCCGCGGTTGCATTCTTCACAATATGACAAATACGCACCAAAAACCGCGTGAAAGCGCGTAACTTCAGATAAGGAGGCATACGTCTTCAGCCCAGCGCACACTGGAGCGAGTCAATAGGAGAAGTCTGACAAATTCTGGAAACTTCGAAGGCTTGAATTTTCAAAAATATGAGACAAAATCGTTTGAAAGTGGCTCCATTGGTTTTATCGTAAAACTGTCTATCAGGCACACCCCTTGAAATTGAATTTGCGACGGAATAAACATCAAAATTTGAAATTTTTGTCAAAAATTTCTCGTCTGACCTCTTCTTCTAGCTAGCTCCACTGTGCGGCGAAAAACGTCGAGGAAAAGTGCAGATCACAAGATAACTGGACAGAGATGGAAAGTGATAGCATATTCCAGCGAAGAGAAGAAGATAAACTTAGGGGAACCGTCGTTTTCTTTGTCAGTACCAAGTCAGTACGACAAGCCGCTGCTGAGGGAGTTGTACCAAGTGCGACGGAATTTCCAGTTATGATCATATTTTATTTATGATGTTTTAGTGTTTTGACCTTTTTAAAATTTCTCTGTTGATTTTTAAACCGAAACTGCTTGATTAGCACAAGACAAGATGCTTGCTTACAAAACTACATCCTACCTGTGATCCCGATTTTACGTTTTAGATTTTGACCACGCCGTGACTGCTGTACTATAAATAAAAGAAACTTTGTTCGAACCGGTGAGTTAAGCGTATACCTATACGATCATATGCATTGTTGAAATCTGCTTTCTCAAAATTTCTCTGCCTTACCTTTTGATTTTGTTACTACATGGCTGAGCGTGAATTCGGGCAGTGCCTAGATGAGACAGGTGCCGAGAAGAATAAATGTTACATTCCACAATCAACAGACAATCCTAAAATCAAAACATGGATACTAGGCACTTTGTTGGAATTTCTATTAAATACTTGCTGTCTAAAATGTGTTAAAAGTATGATTGTGGCGGTATCTGTTTCAGTCGAATTCCAGGCCTTTGGTACCGAGAGAGAAGGGGTACGTTAGATAGAGATAGAATGGGGATACGAGAGGACGGGGGGCTGCCAGACGATGGTTTGGACTCTTATTTTACGATAAATCTGGAAATCTGGTTAGTTGTTTAGGTATTTTATCGGAGATTTTCTGAAGAATATTCCCCCTTAATCAAATTTACCATTTAAATTCTGCCTTCCTCATTTGACTGAAATGGCACCCCTGCAAGAGAGCAGAGCAGTACATTTGAATAATTTTGAATGCCCTATGTACTGAGGGGAAAAGGGATAGAAGAGAAGGTACCTTTTGACCATTATAAATTCGGGGTTTCTCTCTTTCTTTCTGTGAAATATAAGACTTTTTGCCTCAGGTGATTTTTTAGCAAAATTTACTTTTGAGACTTTAGAGAAATTTTAAACTAATCAACCATTTTTCTAAAAAAAAAAAAAAAAAAAAAAAAAAAAAAAAAAAAAAAAAAAGAGCTAGAGAGAAAATAGGTACTTAAAATATTTTGAAAGAAATGGACGATTTTATACTCATGATATGAGACATTACTATAAAAACCCAAATCTGCCCTCCTTCCCTTCCAACTGATCTCTCTATAATTTTTCACTGTCTTTAATAAAATCTGGACTATCTATCACTGGACAACCGCCCCAAAAACTGAGAATATTTAAATTTTCTTTAAAACTTTTTAAACAGGGATTAAGGGTTTAACATATATTTTCAATCATCAACTTCTAGATTTGTCTTGAAAGCAGCAGATGAGCAAATGGCAATGCAAACCGGATATTGCAATCAATTAAGATATTTTCAGCGTTCATTTTAAGTTTTTCAAAGGTATATAGATAGAATTATTGTTTTCTTTCGTCTCTCTTTTCTAAATAATTATTTAATTATTTACTTTTTTCTTATTTCTTTATTTGCTTGCAGACTAAATAAAGATGGGTGTAAAAGGACTATACTCCTACATACATAGTATCTGCCCTCAAGAATGTTTCCCAGAAGTTTCAATCCTTGACCTCATGAAAGAACATTGCAAGAATAGCCGTTCTGCAACAAGACAAGAACTGGTCATCAATGGAGACTCCATTGTCTATCTCCTGTCAGAAAATTTGGACTGGGCTTGTGGCGGTCAATTCAAGTTGTACCTCGAAAAACTTGAGCGATTCGTTGGAACACTCTATGATAAAGGTGGGTATCTCCTTGTAAGAACTAATTTTACAATATTTGAGCACATTCAGGAGTTTTAAGGACTTCAAAGTTTTCTGACGTAATAGAGGTAAAACTAGCCAGGATAAGAGTGTCAGAGCAAAAATAAACTTTCATCACTAATATGGGGATCTTTCAATACTTATATGGTGGGGATTCATTTTTGGTTCTGGTGACAGATAAAAATTATTTAAAACAATAAAAAAGGTCAAGGAAAATTTTTTTTGAAAAAACTATAAAAACTTTTTCGATTTATGTTGTGCAACATATTTATAAGATGTCAACTAAAAGTGGAAATAAGTGTGAAGGAGAAATATTTTGAATTGACAGAAGATGATGAAAAACGAGCATTAAAATTTCATTTTAAATGGAGGTGATAAATAATACTTAAGTGGCAAAATTTGTATTTTTGAAAAAGCATACAGCTAAACTCTTCACATGATTTTTAAAATAAAACTGGCCAATCTGGAAAAAGTTGACTTATACCTCTCAATTTATAAATTGGAGCAAAGTAAGACTTGCGATATTATTGACAATCACCTCACCTATTTATGATCCTATTTTCTTAGAATATAAAAAGACAAATTCTGTGATGGGGGTAATTTAAGGACGGCCCAATAAAAATGAAACTTTTGATTTCCAGGTATTATGCCCGTTTTTTTCTTCTCTGGAGGTCCAGTATCAAGCCGCATTGAGTACAGACTACGGAAGTTTGAAGAACGCCGGAAACACATCGTTCACATCTTTGAGAGGATGTGTCAGGACAAGGAGAGAGACCAAAAACTCCTTGATTGGGATATCATACCACCGACTATGAAGCCCTTGACCCCATTTTTCCTGAAACATCAACTGTCAAAAAAGTGCCGGGTGAATATCTCTCTTGAAAATGTTGATGCGGAGATCAACCTTTATGCCCGTACCAACCGATGTCTTGCAATTATGAGTGATGACACAGATAACATCATTTTTCCTGCATCATGCATATACCTATCTGCAAACAAACTGAATGTGAGTAAAATGACAACTGTTGCTTATAATCGGCATGCAATTGCAGTGCATATTGGTCTCAAAAGTGTTGATCAGCTTCCTCTGTTTGCAACTTTGGTTGGGAATGAAATTGTAGATCGGAACGACTTGTTTGAGTTTCATGCAGGCCTATGTCCACCAAAATTTTCTGCAGTTAAGCCCGGAGCAAAAAAACAAACTAGATTCCTTCATTCAATGTTCCCTCGCAACATATTGTTCCCTCAGGTTGCAGAAGTTGTACAAGCGTTCCCACCCTGGCCCGCTGTGATGAGCTGCTTGGACGATATTGCTTCACGCCTTTTGAAAGATGATAAAGTTGAAAATTCCTTGCGGCTAAGCATTTTGAGCTACATGGATCCAAAATCACAAGTTACTGATCTAAATAACAACTACACTTACAGTGCACCTCATTTGCAAAGTGCAAAGCTGCTCCACACAAGCTGCATCAACCCCCCAATGATTTTTTCAGTTTTGAGTGGAGGGACCGTTGTGTGTCCACCTGTGCTGGAAGATTTGACACTACAATACTACCAGTCAGCAAACCTTCTTCTAAGACCTCTTCGTGCAAAGATTTACGGCATTCTCCTCTGCGACCGCTCCCAAGACCAGCAGCTCGTTCTTGAGTACTGCGCCTACAATCAAAAGAATCTGAAAAATGTGGAAGTTGTCTGCGCAGAGCTTCCACAACAGAATCTATATCCTGGTCTTGAGGAGCTTTGGGACCAGAGTGTGAACTCCGAGGATATGATGAGTATCAGGTGGGAGTTGTTCACTTCAACCATATCTCAGCGTCTTAGTCCTTGGATATTTGATCTTGGTGCCGTTCCGAAGCAGATGATAATCCCGGTGGCAACATTATTCTACCTCCAAGATCGCTGTCAGCTTTATCATTGGGAGGTTGCTGCTTTGATTGCAACATTTGTGTTGTTGCCCCACTACAGTTCTGAATTCATCGATACTCTGTTTATTCCAACTCCACTTGATTCTCGGTCGGTCAGTCTTGCGTCCACAATCAGCCTCACAATATTCACTGTCATCACAACATATGCAGCCTGTGGGTATCCATCCGGTCATTTTGACATAGCAGGTGAAGTTTATTTTGATGGTAAGTTGTTCCAGAACAAATATGCTGAGGCAAAGTACAATCGGAAACTTTTTACTATTGGTGAACAACAGCAGCAAAGCCAATTTTTAGACATTTTCCACATGGTTTACGGCTACTATTATGAATGTTAAAAGGCAAAGAGTATTTGGTCAAATATCCCCCAGAGGTGAAAGCTAGGATAAACTATAATATTATTCTCTTCAATTAGTTGATTTACTTATTACCTTTGACGGTGAATTTATTAGTCAGTATATGCTGATCAGTGTATTCCGTGTGATTTTTTTCTTCTTTTGAGATACGTGCCTGGTGCACAAAAGGTGTATTTACTTTTCTTGTTGAACAAATAAGACAAAATGACTACACTGAAGGGTGAAGGAGCTTCTGCTTCAAACATTATTTGTTGACTTTTCTTTGATAAAAGGTGTAAGTCAAAATCGTGGGAAATTCATTTTAATAACGAATCTAAGTAAGTATGAGTAAAATTTCTGTTTTTAAAAATTTGAAGTTAATTGTGGAGTATGCATTCTGCAGGATTTTTTTTGTTTTTTTTTTGTTTAGATTCTGCAGTCAATACACATCTGCGGCTCTGATAACTTTTGATTTTTTTAAATGAAAATTTCCACCTTCCAAATTGTTTATTTAGCCTTCAGTATCCATCTCACTACTTTGACACTTTAAATCAGAGAAGAGTCAAGAAATTACTTAGGCAAATAAATCAGCCTCCATTAACCAATTAATTACTTTAAAGTGGACTGTCATTTGTTTTCACGCTTCAAATCACTGAAAATAGGAGTGTTTTGAGTGACTTTAAAACCAGTATACTTATTTGCTAATTTTAACATCATATTTGTTAGCTGACATGGACGATTTATGTAGAATCATGAGTTAGACCTGAACCCTGAACAGCAAATGAAAAATCAACATTTTCACTCATAATTTTACACTTTTTGTACATTAGATTTTGAAAATTTGAAAAAAAACTCTTCATTTTCAGTGATATGAAATTCAACTTGAGAAAATTTTTTGATTGAATTTTAGTTTTAGAACTATACTCTACAGCGACTGTACTTACTAACCGCAGCTGCAATATTTTAGTAGATTTTAAAAGATCCACAAAATTTTATTAAATCCTACATTTTTTAAAAAATCCAGTTGCAAAGAAACTAAAAGTTTTATCGAAGTAACTTTTCCATTATGTCTTTTATGTGTTTTATGTACTTTTTCTGTGTTATGCTCAGTAATTTTTTTAATGTACCTTTGTTTGTACATTCACGGAGCATAATGTTTATTTTCATTCTTTTATTTTTAAGCATACTTTAAGTCTAGACCTAAGAAATTTTGAAATTTTAACCAAAAAGTGTCCTGTAATTATATAGAAACATCATTGCTACCTCAGGCAAACATCGAGTGAGAAAAAACATACAAATGATTGAGAGACGTTGGGCTAGAGCAAAAGAGATCAATTCAATTGCTTGTCGAGAACAATGCACACAAATCTAATGTGAAATCAAAATCTGAGAAAGATATAAATGTTCACAACTAACAATTATTACACACTGTTAAAGTTTCCTAAGGCTGCAAATTGAAGCCAAAATGGTAAGCCTCAACTCCATTGATGATGAAACAGGAAATTTGAGGGGCCAAGCACTTTTCAGCAAGTGTCAATCATTTATGAAATCATTATTTTGATTACTATTGGCATGATTCCTCTGTAAGCGGAAAATTTTGAATATTTTTTTGTTTGCATGCTTTTTTACCGAGAAGGACCTTGCATGAAAAATCAAAGGATTCAGCCCCGGCTAAATTTTGGTTTTATATTTTATACCTATGATTTGATATTATTTCCGACTTCCTAGGCATGATGTGCTACAATAGTTGAACTTCCTGGGAGCTGATTTTGCGAGAAACAGGGCTAAAAAATGAATTTTCCATCACTTTTAAAAGCATTTTCTTATGGAGGTGTGGCACTACCGCTTGGCCGCAGTTCAGCAGCAGTTGGTGCGATGGACACTGTGCTGCTATCAATGGGAGGAATTTTGTTCTTTCTATCTATCTCATCCTCTATACTGATGGACAAGGAAGAGCTTCTCTCCATTGAACTTGTTGAACAAATCTAGTGTATGATAATGTGTGTAAAAATGCTTAAATATTCACTTTTGAGTCCTGTTTTCCTAAAAAAATAGCACACAGAAAATTTGATTTTCGAAGCCGATCATGCCCAAGAGGTTGTTTAGGACATTAGATCAGATATGACCAAAATTTAGCCAGGACCAAATTTAATTGATTCACCATGCAGAGTCCTTTTTCACAGAAAGCATATTAGCATACTTAGTATATTGCTCGATTTCTTATGAACTAGCCCATTCTGTATTCTAAATCAAAACATTCTTCCTTCTAAAAAAAGATGAAAAGGTGAAGAAATTGGAAGATCAGGTTCTGAAGAGATTCAATTGCACTTGGTACATATGTTGTGAAAGCTTCCTATTTATGTGTATATACAGCATTATGCATACCTAATTTTATAGAACTTTAAGCTGGGTATTCCTCATTTTAGCATGTACATTCTATTTTATATTTTAAAATATCATTTTAAAAATTGAAAAATATTGATAGCCTTTAGCTGTTACATATCATTCACACTTATTTTACGAGGGCAAAGAATTGTAAAGAATTAAAAAGCGCAGGTAAAAAATATGGGTGAGATAAAACTAGCTTGTTGTACTATCATTTGGAAAAAAATGTTAAAATTAGCCTCTTTTAAGAATCCAAAAAGTTGATTACAGATTTTAAACTTATTTTAGGCTCTGAAAAATTCAAAAATATTGGAAATTTGGAAAGTCCGAAACTATTTAAGACTAAGGCAATTTTTTATACTTGCGCATTATAGGTAAGCATAATTTCAAGTTTGTAAAAGCACTTGAATTTACATCTACAAAATAAGTCTGAACCAAAAATTGAAAAGCATGTATCTGCATCGCAATGCACAAAGATAAGAAACACTGTTACGTCACAATATAACAAAGCTTCACTGCTTGAAATATTTGGTATGAGGAAGAAATCACAAAATATTTCAATGATAGATGCTTGGTGGTTTCTTCGCTATACTTTAAGACTTGAGCAGGAATGTTTTGAACATAGCGATTCAGGTAAATGTTTTCATAGTTCTGTAAATTATGTATACCCTTATTTGATGCCCTTTTGTAATATGTACCTTACTTTTTACCATTAAATTTAAAATTACCAAAATTTGTAAAAAGTGATAACATCTTAGAAAAGCTATATTTTTTGTACTATAAACTTTGAGCATCATCAAAATTTGCAAAAAATGATCAAGGGTGAGTGAAGTTTGTTCAAGATGATGGATAGACGCAGTGAAACATTTAACGGTTCACAGCATCCTAAGGTTTGTTGTACTATTTTTGAAAGGCTTGATCTGTAATTTTAAATTGTACATCTTAGTTTGACAATAAACAAAAACGCAACTCACATTTGTTGAATGTTCTTTCCCCACACAGATAATTGGATTTTTTCACTTCAGATTGCGACAACTGCAGCCTGATTGTTGAAATTTTGTGTTTGTCGGGTCAACATGGATGACATAGGTTAAAAGGCGGGGCGTGATTGATCGGCTGTGTTTTATCGCTGCTTTGTCGTGCTTATGTTGGGTTGAACTCACCACAAGCTAACGGCACCTCTTAAGTTTCCGACAGTATGTCCTCCATTCCACCTGACAAAGGCACGATAAGGCAACGATAAGACCTAGCCGATCAATCACGCTCCGCCTTTTAACCTGTGTCATCTATGTCAACCTGACAAACACAAAATTTCAACAATCAGGCTGCAGCCCATCTTGGTGAATATCAAAAAAATAAATTCAGGGCTAAAGGAGGGGTATCGTTAAGGGCCTTTTTTGGCCCCACCCTAAAATTCCTCAACTCCGCGATTTTTTGGTCATTGAAGGTCTATATTTTACGGAATGCACAATGGTTTTGTCATTTCCGATCTATTTCGGGGTCTACCACTGGCCTAAACATGGGTCTGAAGGTCAATTTTGGCGAAAAATGCGGGTTTTTCAGCATTCGACGCGCTGTTTCGTAACGATCCCTTCGGAGGACAAAAAAATCCTTCGAGTATGTTCATTAGGGATGTAAGAGAGTCACTTTGGCCAATTTTCGTCGATGTCAAACTTTGCGCTCATAGTTAAAAAAAACTTTTTAGAATTTTTCTTGTTTTTCATCATTATTTAAAATGGCTTAAAAAAGGCGACTCATCTTACACCAGAATTAAACTTTTTGGCAGAAAATGGTCGTGGGTGGTCAAAACCTTCCTCTAAGAACTTTTTCCGATTTTAAGCCCCCCAAAAAAGCCGGTGTTGCCATATTTCATTGCCTAAAATCTTAGAAAACCGAGTACTTATTTCAGTATTTGGGGGCTATTTCTCGTCGAGCTCATTCAGAAAAGTCCAAAAACCTTCATTTTTCATATGTTATGGCCGAATCACCAGTAATTACATACATTTATCTAACTACAGAACCTCCCATCGCGGCACGGCGTTGCCACATCATCGGGGAAAAATCGAGAAAAATCCACGTTTCCCTAGATTTGAGCCATTTTTTCGGATTATGCGGATGGAATAAAGTTGAAAGACTTAAATTGCAGTATTCAGAGATGCAAGTGGATCATACCTTGTGCCGGTATTCATTATTTTAATATATTGCGCTTATAGACAACCCATATTCTTACGATTTCTAGGCACGATATTTGCGCAAGAGGATGCGACTTTCAAACATTGGCCGTGATCTGCAGTCCGAAAGAAAGTAAGCCATGTGCCAGAATCGCGAGTCCTCAATGCTGAATTTTTACCCGCCCTGACAACCACCACCATCCTCCCTCCCTCCCCCAGCCCTCTTATCGGCAGCGATTGTTCAGAATTCTACTTCCTGATTTTTTTTCTCAATTTGCATACTTAGTAGAGGCACAAAGCACATGGAGGATGAATTACGATATGTGTGAGATTTAGGATGCTTAATATTATTTCCTTTAGAAGACATATGATTGTACGTATACAAAGTCGCGCATATCGCGTATTGCGAATACGCTGATTTTCAGTCTGCGAGATGCTTAGAGTGACGATTGCCGTAGATGTATATTAACGGTCATCTTTACGGTAGACTAAAGATAGACTGATTACTGGGTGTTATAGCGTATCTCCAATCCACCAAATCTTCAAATCTTCGTATCACAGTAAGTACTGTTAGAGTAAAAGTTACTGTTTTAAATTAATTTAGGGAAGTAGAATTCTGAACAATCGCTGCCGATAAGAGGGCTGGGGGAGGGAGGGAGGATGGTGGTGGTTGTCAGGGCGGGTAAAAATTCAGCATTGAGGACTCGCGATTCTGGCACATGGCTTACTTTCTTTCGGACTGCAGATCACGGCCAATGTTTGAAAGTCGCATCCTCTTGCGCAAATATCGTGCCTAGAAATCGTAAGAATATGGGTTGTCTATAAGCGCAATATATTAAAATAATGAATACCGGCACAAGGTATGATCCACTTGCATCTCTGAATACTGCAATTTAAGTCTTTCAACTTTATTCCATCCGCATAATCCGAAAAAATGGCTCAAATCTAGGGAAACGTGGATTTTTCTCGATTTTTCCCCGATGATGTGGCAACGCCGTGCCGCGATGGGAGGTTCTGTAGTTAGATAAATGTATGTAATTACTGGTGATTCGGCCATAACATATGAAAAATGAAGGTTTTTGGACTTTTCTGAATGAGCTCGACGAGAAATAGCCCCCAAATACTGAAATAAGTACTCGGTTTTCTAAGATTTTAGGCAATGAAATATGGCAACACCGGCTTTTTTGGGGGGCTTAAAATCGGAAAAAGTTCTTAGAGGAAGGTTTTGACCACCCACGACCATTTTCTGCCAAAAAGTTTAATTCTGGTGTAAGATGAGTCGCCTTTTTTAAGCCATTTTAAATAATGATGAAAAACAAGAAAAATTCTAAAAAGTTTTTTTTAACTATGAGCGCAAAGTTTGACATCGACGAAAATTGGCCAAAGTGACTCTCTTACATCCCTAATGAACATACTCGAAGGATTTTTTTGTCCTCCGAAGGGATCGTTACGAAACAGCGCGTCGAATGCTGAAAAACCCGCATTTTTCGCCAAAATTGACCTTCAGACCCATGTTTAGGCCAGTGGTAGACCTCGAAATAGATCGGAAATGACAAAACCATTGTGCATTCCGTAAAATATAGACCTTCAATGACCAAAAAATCGCGGAGTTGAGGAATTTTAGGGTGGGGCCAAAAAAGGCCCTTAACGATACTCCTCCTTTGAGTTATAAAAGCTATCTTGTCCCCAGTTAATGTGGACAATATGGATGCTTAAAATACCACAAACGAATAAGCAGAATCATTCAGGTGTCTCTCTTTGATAGTCTGCTGGTGATGATGCTTATGAATAATAATAATCACGAATTCTTTCTTTTCCTCATGAGAATTTGTCAGCTAGGGCCACACACTTAGTCGTTCTTTAAATAGCTCCCTGCCCTTAGGAAACCCTCTATGGTTTACATTACGATTAAGGGACGGCTGAGGAAGATCCTTGACACGATACTATAAAGAGAGCATTTAAAAGGATCTTGAGTATAAATGAGCGATACACCTTTGGAAATGGACCTGAGCAAGAGATTACAATGCTTTGTCACAGCAAAGAACAAAAAATACTAAGAAAGAAATTTTATGATTTTGAACAACTTTAAAGTGGGTACAAATCTACGTTAAGATGTAATGGTGCATATCATAATCCCTCGCAAGAGTCTACTTCCAAAGTTTAACCGTTGACTCATACTAGGGATTCATTAAAATTGTCCTTTCAATGAGTATCGTGTTAGGGCTCTTCTTAAACCTTTCTCAGTCACCATGTGACTTACTAAGCTATTTAAAAAACGACAATAAATACAGCCCTGAGTAAAAAGGTGGAAATCACATGTGAAATCTTGAAAGACAAAGGATGAAGACTGAGAGATTTGATTTTAAAATACAATTTGTAATCATAAAACTGAAATGCATGAGCTGGATTCCAAAAACTGAACCATGGCGATACAAAAATAATTTAAAACTAAAATAACACATTAGTTAACCCTCGTCCGCTCCAGCACTTTGAGCTACCACAGGAAAAAAGGTTTGTTTTGGAATTTAACATTTTTTTCCGAGCAGAATAAAACTAATGCATAAGACCAATTTCAACAAACCCACATTCTAAAACTTACAAATAATATATTTGCCACATGAAGTTAGGTAAAATTTTAAAAAATTCAAGTCACCTTATGATTTAATCATACTTTATAGGACAACTAAAAAAGTTAAAGATCACTAACATTCTGCAAGGAGAATAATACTTTAAAAAAAATGCACATAGTCGGAAACTTTATTTGTCCTATTATTACCTCAGTCTCCTCGTTAAACAAAATGCTCCTCAAAATATGTAGCACCAAAAAAAAAAAAAAAAAAAAAAAAAAAAAAAAAAATTAGTGGCCAGAGATTAAAAATAATTTATGCAAATGAAATATATAAGCATCATGGCTAAAGCTTGATGAGTGCCTTAATTGCAGAGATTAACCATACAAAAATATGCCAACTATCTGAGTGAAGAATTTCAGCTGTTAATAAAAAGCTGCAGCAATAAGAGAGGATGAGCACCAGATAAGTGAGAGGAGCCTCATGGCAAGATTAAAAAATAAGAAACACTTCATTTTTGTGTTGGTTTTAACGTAAAAGTTGAACAGATGGTATGTCGGGCAATTGAAGTTGAAATACAAAATTAATACTCTTAACCAATTGAGATCATTTTCCTCCAAGATGTTCAATGCAGATGACATTAACCTCTAGAGATGTGAGAGCAAACAAGCTAAGAGTTGGATCCTGAAAAAGATTAAAAAGGTAGAAGAATAGATTTGACAGATATGATAGAAATCCAAAATGATATTATTACAGTTAAAAATTAGCGCTTTGACTATTTTGAAAAAGAGGAAGATTTGTCTTGAGAGTGATGTTAGAGAATGTTTATACATTGATGGATAAATGCAAGAAATGCATGACTCAACTGCAATTTTTACCTTGCCATGTGTTCTGTTGTTTACAAACCAATCCAATCCACAAACGGCAGTCATTCTCCCAGACAAGTTGCAAAACCCTACTGCACGGTGCGCACTGGCAGCGGTAAGTTTGAATGCAATGCATTTCTCATGAAAGAAGCCAATTCCATGTCATACTGGCTATAATCAAGTGAGTTTTGGGCATGGGGAATGGATTTTAAAGAGATGCACAGTGGCTGACCTGTGTGGATTGGTCTTGTTTGTTTGTAATAGGTAAAGCTATTGTGGTGACACCGGTGTAAACAAAACAAAGAGGCTGAATGCTCAACTTCCTCTGGTGCATATTGACAGTTTGTCGGGCTAGTCTGCTTAATGCTTGCAGTGGAACAATGGCTTCATGTACTTAAACAAAGGAATTTAACACAAACAGAACATCAAATTCTTTGACAAATGTATTCAAATACGATGTTGGAGAGAAGGAATTAGATTTCCTCCGTGAAAGATATTCCTTGCACAGGGTTGTTTTGGATGGAATTAGGACCACTGGATGAAACGGTATAAACACTTGACTCATGATGAACTGATGGGCTCTCAAATACCCCATAAACCAGACTCTGATGATCCTTGAATGTGCTTTATTAAAACTGAACACAGGTGATCAGACTGGCTCATCCCCAGACTAAATTGACTAAAACCCAGCCAATGCACACTCAACAGGACACATATCAATGGTTGAAAAGTCATGTCTCTCATTTTAGACGCTTTCAACTGGCAATTCAGCAGACATATGTATGTATCTCATTAGTCTCCACACATATGTTACTCGCGGTAAAAATAATTTGAGGTTGTTTGAGAATACACAGAAATTAAAGAATAACTTACCAAGCTGTTTAGAATTCCTCCATCATCCATTGCTAGCCTAGAGACTGACAGGATTTTCTGACTCTTCTGGGCTCAGCACGAATAGTGCTTTTTGTAAGAAAACAGTGAAGTCATCTGAAAAGAATTACAAAATTTACCGATAAAACCCTGGTGAATAAGGAGGTTTAAAAATTTTGTGATAATCATTCTTGCGCAGGATCCAATTTAATCAGAGAGAGGGGGGAGGAGGGTAATATGAAGGAAGAAAGAGAGCAGGTTTTTGACTGATGACTTTTTTTGCCTCAATCTCAACACCGTACGAAGTAAAACGCCACAAAAAAAATTTAAATAAGAAAAATGTATCAATTTGGAGATGTAAGGGTGGCAGAACACAGGCGACAAGAGATAAAGAAATAAGTAAATCCACCTCTGTCATTAGAGTTGATATTTTACTGATATCTTCTGCCATTACTTATAAAGAGCAAAGTCATTTTCCACCAAAAACAAAAATTCACAGAATTATTCAAATAGAAAAAAGTTACAGAATCCGTTTCTATCTCAAAACAATTTCAGAAACTTCAAAACATTTTTGACATTCCCCAGGGAGGAGAACTTTAGTGCCATAAACGTCTGACATGGGTAAGACGGCTTAGGGGAGTGTTATGTAAATATGTTCCCCTAAAATACACCCACAAATGTTAGATCAAACCAAGAAAATGACAGTCTGAAGTTAGCAATCAACAAAAATTCTGATTTTTTGACCCAACTTAACAAAATTGCTTTCCTCATTATTTCTGACGTCTCTTTAGCAAGGGATAGAAGCCCTTAAAATCTAAGTATTCACAATACGTAGGTATGAAAGAGACTTTTTTCGATTGTTTTGTCTTGGAAATAATAAAAATATTGATTACTATCACAAACGCAAAGGTTGCTTGAGATATTAATACAAAGTATGTAACAGTCACTGCTACTATGATGCCATAATCCAAAATTTCAACATTCGGCACATGTGCTTGCTAAGGCAAATTAAAGAATTTTGGTCAAATAATACTAATTATCAGCTACTTTCTCATACATACATATAGGTCTCTTTACAGCACTCCCTCGGCTCTACGACTCCTAGCTTCCACTGCTCTCTGTCAAACCACAACCCTTCCCTTGGGGCATTGAGCACCTTAACATTTCTGCTTCAGTCCCCGCCCTCCAACCTCTCATTGGGCACCCTCTGCGCCTTCTCCCAGGTGGAACCCAATCAAGTACCTTCTTCGGCAGACTGTCTCCTACCATTCTCTGAACATGACCCTACCAAATGAGCTGTTTTGTCATAATGTCATGCTCGATGGTCTGTTCGGCATCCATGATCTCCCGTACTGTCTCATTCCTGATGCAATCCTTTCTGGAAATACCAGTGGATCTACGCCAGAAGTCCATCTCTGTTCCCTCCATAACCCCCCCGGGTCCGCTGTTTTATCGGCCACATTTCACACCCATAGGTTACTATGCTCTTTATAATCTTGTTGTAGATCCTCCTTTTATTCTCTTTGGAGATCCTTTGGTCCCAAAGAATTCCATTTAACATGGCAATGGCCCTCCTACCCTGCATGTTTCTGTTCTTGATGGCCTGGTCCAATCTTCCACCTTGGGTGAGAAAAACTCCTAAATATTTGTGAATATCTCAGCTTCCAATATGCCGCCCACCATGTAATTTTATGCTTTACTGATTCTCGCCGACGATCAACTTCTCGGTTTTGCTGACATTAACCTCCAGGCCCCATTTCCTTTCCTTTTTTGGCTACTTTCTCAAATGTTCAAAACTAATAATGCCTTGCTGTCCAGACTATGCTATGTGTAACTGTGTAAGTCAGTCCTCGCCCATCAACTGATAGGCATTTGTCTTGTCAATAAAGCATCAGTTGGCGTGTGCCTTCTCGAATATTCTAGTCCAACATATATCAACTGATTTTCCAAAAATTTTATTGAAAAATATGAATGAATATAACTACACAAGGATCACTTACTGTGTGCTGATTTCAATGCGAATGGTTTTGTCTTCCATTTGATACCAATGTAGTACACAGGCACTCCAGAGAGAATTATAAGTAATCCAACGACTAGAAAAAGAACAAAACAAAAAAACACAAAGTATGAAGATAAAAAATAAACGAAAATTTTTAGGTGGTATACCTGCTATGATTTTTCATACAGTAAAATAATAAGTTGACTCCACTTAGATTGGCAGCTAGTTTCATTTGTTTTTGTTTACGTTTAAAAATGTCTTGTTTTTGTTGTCAACTTGGGACTTTCTTTAAAGCGCCATTTAAAACGCTTCCAACTCTAATTTTTTGCGAAAAAAAAATATGGGAAAAGTTGATGGGTCTAAAAGAAAATAAATGAAGACATTTTAGAGGCAGGTTAGTACACCTAATTTTCTTGCATGACTGAATTTTTATTGATGTTCAATCAATTGCATTTTTGTACCTGATAAAATACTAACAATTTCCAGATTTTACACTCACTTGTGTTAAATGGCTCTGCCACGACAGGCACAGACACCAAGAAGACACAGCAAATGAGGAACATAATGGGTAGAGCTGTGTGCACTCTGATGGGGCGTGGCATGTCAGGTTTGGTGTGGCGCAAGTACAAGAGACCTGCTATGCATACTCCAACTGACAGCCACAAAACTTGACTGAAGTAGTTGATCAGAACAAATACATTGGTAGAACACAACATTAAGAGAGACATAAAACACTGTAAAGAGAAAACAAGAAGTTAGGGAAGGGCAACAATCTTGTTCCGCCCATAAATAAGTATAACACATGTGAAAATTTCAAGGAATCCATCTTGTATGGTTGTGAAAATCAATAATAAAACATTTCACATGAAAGGTAGAAATTTCAGAAGGTTTTTACAGATTCAATCACTATATCCGATTCATAAAGTGGGATTTTCTCCTTACAATCTGCATTTCTTAAAATCGTTTTCAGAAATGTTTAGAAAAAAAGGTGGCAATTTTGCCCTCCTAATTTTCATTGGACTTAAAGGAATTCATCCGCTAATAATAATAGAAACATTTGCTCTATTCATATGATTGATGAACATTGCCTGGGAGCAGAACTGCCATTAGCACACCTTGAGTTAGTGGCAACCCTGTTCATAAACTCATTGTAGCTGTAGAGGATTTATGTATTATCAAATGATAACATATTGACCGCAAACCTCCTTAAAAATTGATGTTCGCAATAATTTTAGTAAAATTTTCACACACTTGTTTACATTTTGCAGAATAAATTTTTCAATAGTTTAAGAAAAATGAATATACCTACCAACCTCTGCAAAAATATCAAAGGCGTCCAAATGGATGGCATTTTGCAAAAAGGGACCACTAGCATTGCAATGATGCTATGATTGTGCAACTTCATCTTTTGCAATAAAATTGCGGAAATCGTGAAAAACTATGAAATTTAGATGGTAATTTTTGTCTTAAATTTACAGTTTTCAGCGAGTAAAACAGAAACTATTAATGGATAATCGGGGTTTTCCTCCAAGACAAAAGAAGTTGCACAATCTTAGCAACATTGCAATGCTAGTGGTTCCTTTTTGCAAAATGCAATCCAAATATCACTCCTTGCAATTCTGTTTTCATGTTGAGACTCCAAAATTAAGGTATGTACCTGTATTTTATTTCAATTAGAATAAATGTCTACCTAAAACCACCAGAGGCTTACTGGGGTACTTACTGTGAAGAGAAGGGAAGGAATTGGAGTGCATCTTTTTACGTGTATGAAGGAGAATATTGGAGGAAGATGTCCCTCTTGAGCACCAGTGACAAACAGACGAGCTGATGTGAACAAAATACCATTCACTCCTCCAAATGTTGACAAGGCCACAAAAACAGGGACAGCCCAGCGTGCTTGTCCGAACATACGGTCCCCAAATGACTGAAAGAGGGGAAAAAATTCAAAATGCAAGATTAATTGAAACAGAGTGAGAAAGAATAGAGTGCTGGGTGTGCGAAAGAAAGGCTAATACAGAGGTATCAATGAAACAGTTAGCAGCCACAGAAAGCGTGATCTGAAAATTCCCGACTTCAATTCTTAAAATGACTACAAGTAATACATGAAACTTTAGGGATCATTCTTGACAAATGCAATAAAGTGATTTTGTATACAGATTACTACTGGCAAAAAGTGTGTACTTTAATTGGAACATTCGAAAATATTGAGTTATGGTTTATTTTTTCAAGGAGAACAAATCAATTTTTTCCTTGCAATTTTGTGTGATTTCTTTTAGAATGAGCTAGGAAAACTCATAAAAAATGTCTATAGAAACCGATGGTTGATTTTCCTTTAGAAAAATATAACATAAGCGGAGATTTTCAACATCGTAATCTGAAGTACGCACTTATCAACTTCAGCCATGAAATCCATTTAGGTACCACACTTTCAAGGTACGGTGCCCCCTTCACCCCTTCCCCTTTGCTCCCCTTGAGCAAAGGGTGCCCCTCCATCACCCTTTGCCCAGTTAATTTTTGAGCCCAATGAGGCAATGAGGAATTTACAGGTGTCGGAAATTTGATGAATTTCGTGTTTAAGTGGAAACTACTGAGTAAACTGAACACAAGGATACCCTTGGTTCATGAACTGAACCATTATCAGCGAAAATATGCCAAAATGATCTCATCTGCTGAAATACGTGTGTTTAAATGGGAAATGCCACCAGATGACGTCACTAGGCGGTGCACTTTCTCACTTTTAAATCTATTTTAACACTGTTTCCCACATGAGAAAAAAGTTATAAAAAAATACTGTGAAATCAGCTCTTTCAGCACTTTCAGATGAAGCAATAAAAAATTTGCATGCATATTTTCCACTGCCCCTTTGAGATAATTCTTTGAAAGAAAAAGGAACCGAAAGGATATCAGCAACAATAAGTAGTATGGTGGGAAAACCAAACTTCGGTTCAACTTCCATCATCAGTTACCTCACAGAGACCATAAATATACCTACTAAAATCCCTCATCCATCCATGCTTTCCAAGGGACAGACTCTTTATCCTTTTATTCTTCCTTACTAAATATTTTATCATTATTATTATTGATCACTTGGTGAGCTAAATACCTATCATTTCTCTCCTTTGAATTTTATTAGAACATCTGAAATCCCCACTAAATAATCACTTCTGGCTTTTCAAATTGTGAACAAATTAGATAACAACATGGGTGGTGATAAGCTATGATATACATCAGAGTTGCTTGGAGAATTCAGGGGCTACGCGGGAGATAAACACTTTTCAGTTGCAGGGTTGCTGAACTCCCCAAAACTTTCATTAAAAATAGAGAAAACTAATGCATGCATTTCAGTGAAATTTTTGCTGAATATTCTTCATAAATCTGCTTTCAGCCAAAGAAACAAATTCAATAGAACACCCATTGACTATTCCATGACATGTATTGCGACTAAGATACTTGAACATAGCGAGCAAGAACACACCTGAGAAATATTTACAAACTTAAACTGGAATTGATTTCTCCCCACTTCAAATTGGGTCGCTAATACAATTAAGTTGCATTTACAAAAAGGAGCCAGCGCAAATACAGGGTTGTAAAAATTATACATCTTCATAGTCATCTATGAAATCTCCCAGAATAGCGATAAGTTTGGACATTCCACTAAAGAATTGTTAGTTTTAAGGCAAATAGTTGTGTAAATTTTAGTACTGTACATGTATCAAGTATTTTCAAAGGAAAAGGAGAAGTTGCACGATTTTGAAAACACTGAAATTGTGCTGGTTCCATTATGCTAAATGCAATTTAATAAGTAATGTTATAATTTGCACAATCGAAACAATTATCAAAATTTATCATTTCTCTTCCTAAGGACCATTTGGAGCATACCACACTAAAGGTGTGGGGGAAAAAGCGTAACTTCCGAAAACCTTCTAGCCTGATTTTAAGGTGTGTGTCGCAACATAATTCTTGATACTTCAAGTAAATAGGGAACAATGAGCTCATATGATGAGAGTGCAAAAGGCAGTAACTTTTGACTGGAAATTTTATTTAAAAAAATAATAAAATTTACATAAATAGTAGCAGTCTCACAAGAACAGTACAGTAATTCATTTCATGTTGACAATAACCTAGAACAAAATACCTTCCAAGTGAATTTCTTATCACTACTTTGTATAATGTAACAATGGAGCAGACTTAAAAATAGTTCTAAAAGTTAAAAAAGTACAAAATACGGTGGTAATTTCTTGGTGGTGGTGAAAAGAGAACACGTGCTAACTGTAGCACTCTGCTTACACAACACTTACGATGATATCCTGTTATGAAAAATACATGGTTTTTTTTAGGAATTTTACTATTGCTCCGTGAAAACGATAGTACAATTATTGACGGGGCATAAAAGTATTTAAAAGGGAATTTATGTTTCACTTTCACTGTTTAACATTTCTTGATACAAGCTGGTTCTCAATGATAGGAACAAAAATAAGTAAGCGAAAATATTTACAGTACAAGGAAAAAGGAAGAAGCTCATTGAGGAGAAAGAGGAAAACTCAATTAGACATCAAGGTAGGATTGATTACTTCTTCTTCGCTTGTTCCTGTTTGATTGCGGGAGCATTGGTTTTAGTAATTGGAATTTGGCGCTCACTGCCATTCTCATTGGTGATAGCCTGCAACAGAACAAAGAAATACATTAATAATCTCAGAGTGACTAGTTGCACAAATTACAACTTACGAACACTGATATGTTCTGAAAGTTCATTACATTCATTCATAGGAGGCTTCGTACAACATCAATATCATTTGCAGACAATAGGTACTTAGCCCTACAGTAAAATTGAGACTCTAAAAGAAAGATAAATTAACGGTTAAATAAATTAAGGTAGAATTCCTGGAGGGATGTTAAGGATGCAAGTAGATACAAACTTTCAGTCTATTTTCCTGAGAAATTGCGTTATTTTTCAAAGGAACTACATAGCTTATTATAATAAATTATGCTCCAGATTGGATCAACTCATGAAAAAAAGCTTTCTGTTTAATTCTTTATAACAAGAGGGAAAAGGTTATAAGTTGGGTTAAATTACTAAAAAAATCAAACACCATATTCTTTCTATACTTTAAATTTAAGATACTGACACAACATCATATCCACATACATCGAGAGCACAATTAGCACCAGATTCTATTGTTTATCTTCTGGTGAAACGCGATAAAGAATCTAGAAATTGCATCTATGTATATGAGTAGATATCAATCTCAAAAGTGCACCTCAAAAGTTATTTTATTGACGAGGACTTTAGGCTTACCTTTGGCGGAGCATGTACAGAGAGAACACCATCAGATGAAAGACTTGAAGTCAAGGCTTCCGCATTGACGTCTTTAGGGATGAGATAACGCCTAGTGAATTCCCGAGAAATAAAACCATGCTCATCACTGCGTTCTTCGTGTTTGGCGTGGATGGTAACATAATTGTCACTGACTTTGACATTCACTTCTTCAGGTTTGAACTGCTGCACATCTAAGTTCACCTGAAATCAGGAGTGAAAAAATTGATTAGCACATAGCAAAGTGGAAAATTTTAAGGGTTTCATCTTCATAAATGAGTGCCTACAGTAAATTATTTTCACTGGCTACTTTCTTACTAAACACCTCGTCTAAGTCCACAGGCCAAGCATCTAAAAGCTCAAGCTTTGATGAATAGTGCATATTTGTTGGAATAGCTTGTAATTGCCTAATATTTTGTTAGAAAAACCTTAACAAGAAAAGCTTCAGACACCCTTTTTCAATCACTATCATATTAGTTGACAGTGAATAGCAAGATACCAACTGTGTAAATGTATATATCGACAGTGTAAGTCGGCAATCACATAACTCGTTTGCGGTGTCTGAAAATCTCCGCCTCTTTGTTATTTTTTTAAAGGAGAACAAATTGACATCATTCCTTGAAGTTTTTGCAGAATTATCTTCGCACAGAGAAGAAAAATCACGGCAATTTTAAAGAATTGTCGTTGAGTAGTTTTCCGTGTAAAAAATAACTTTGTACATTTGGTATATTGTCGTGGGTAGAAATCCATAAATCAATTTTCCAGAGAGTGATAGCAGTTGAATTGTTGAGAAAATGGTACAAGATATTAAAAGAAGCTTAAGTACATGGATGGAAAATAAATGAGAGCTCACCTTAAATCCATCTTTATCGTGCTGTACTGATGAAGTCCCACTCTCATTTTGGGGAAGCAGTCTCCACGGCCGCATATAAAACGGGCGAATGGCAGTGATTGATGGCAGATCATCATTCCACAGTCCAACACCGAAGTTTTGGTCATACACTGTTGGACGGTTCAATTCTTCCAACAAGTAGGGCAAGAGAGACATCCTGGAAAACGAACAAAATCATATGAGCTATTGCTGCTGGAGCAAGGATAAACACTTGGAAAGCTTGGGTTTTGAATATGGCAGAAGAAAAAAAATATGGACGCAATAATCACAACGGGATTTTACAGAGAAAAGGTTGTACATGTACATATGCAATGTGATTGTCATCAGATCTTCTCTTAATAACACATGTACACAGCTCACTTGCCCGTACACACATGAAAAATTAACATTAAAACTTAACATTAAAAATTCTTGCTAGCACACATGGAGCTTTATGGGCACTGCATATGCAATACTAGTGGTTGGAATGCTGATCCAGCACAACTTCCTGCCTTAAATTTGGAGAATATTTCTTTGGAAAAAAAAATTTTTTCTCTGAAAAATGGCGCTTGTGATACCTACTGCCTTCTCTGGACATTCTGAAAACCCCTGGTGCTTGTGGTATTTTATATTAATTAAACGGAGTTTATCCCACATTAATTCGTTTATAATCTAAAAAAAATGTATTGTGTTAGTATGCAGGTAAGTAAGTGCATCTAATTAATTCAAAACCATCCATAACAGAAAATGACGAATTGCTCCGGGTCATTCCCAATTTCGTAGATACTGAATTTGTAAAATCAATCCCAAAGAGGAGCAATTATCCAACTTGGCGCTTGTGATACTTTAATCATGTACGGCGCTTGCAGTACGAAAGTTCATCAACTTTTATCAATTTTTATTCATACTTCTATTTTTCGGTTCCAAAAAAATTACTATTTTCCTACTTCATGCATCTCTTTATTTCGAAATTATGCATAACTTAATTTCAGTAAAAATGACAATTGTGATACATTGGCCTGAAGGTCATGGCACTGGCAAAATGAGTGAGTAGATGCAGTCTTGAAATAATAATGGTGGTTATTAGGTACAGTTAGCAGCATAATAAAGAAAAGGGGGAAAGTAAGGCAATGTTGGAACTTGGAATCTATTAATGTGAAAGTCACATAATGCTTACCTGATGGAAAAATTGGTGATGTTCTGGATGTAGAAAGATTCAAGAGGTTGATGCAGTGGCACGGAGAACTTCTAACTGTTGAGGTACAAACAGTTCAAATCTGAATCGTTCAAACACTGTCAGGCAGTAGAGATGATTTACAGACTCTTTCCGCTCACAAAATATCGAGAGAGTACACAGAGCAACGTTAGTAACGACTCACTCACGAAAACGGCAGATGCGATGCGAGAAACTAAACTGATAACAAGTTGGCGAGCGGCCGGGTCTTTTATATCACACCGGTATCTAGAACATTCTGCCATAGAAAGATCTGGAAACTGCTAGATTTGAATGAACCGCCGTTGCGCATTGTTTACCCAAGTTGTTCAATGGACCAACTCATAAGTCTCAATCTCTTCTGGAACTTTCTAGAGATTCTTTACAGTTTTCTGAATTGAACTTGAATTTACAAGTACTGAATACTTAATGCAAAATATCCTGCAAAAATTCGTTCTTCGCATCGGGCTCAATGAACGAGTAATTATTTCTCTTAGTTCTCTTGTAAGCACTCGCCAAAAACTACAGTTGGGTAGTTTGTGTTCGGTGGCAGCACTGTATTACTGCAGCGCAGTTGCCAAGTCTCGTGAAAAATCGCCGATTTCATGTCGGCTTGCCAATTCTCCGTTTATTTCCTCTTACGTTGCTTCGGCAAAATGTATTTTTAATAGCTTTTCCAATGTAAATCGCAGTTTCAGTCACTACACGTCGGGATTCTATACACCAAAAAAAAAAAAAAAAAAAAAAAAAAAAAAAAACATAATAAAAATATTCGAAAAATTCAATTTTGATCCCCTTTCTCGAAAAGCACGAACTCTTCACCTTCCGGCCACAGTATTACAAGCGCCATGCGACGTTTCAAATTTCCGCCGTTAATTTATTTTTTTACAGAGAAATTGTTTGTTGAATCTGTTTAGAAATTCCACTGAATTTCATCAGCAGCACAAAGAAAATTCAATGAAATTTTCGGACAGCTTCGTTTAACAACTTCTCTGTAAAAAATTAAAAGGCGGCGGAAATTTTGAAACGTCGCATGGCGCTTGTGATACTTTGGCCGGAAGATGACAAATTGATGATTATACCTATTAAAATCTTCTGTTTTCTGCTTTTCTTCTCTTATGCCTCATTCTAATTCCTCTACTTTACTTTCCAATAAACATTGATAGAACACCAAATACTTACATATTCTAAATTTTTTGGCAACTTAAAGAGAGCGGCGTCATTAACAAGACTAGACCAGACTTAATAGTGCCACACCCGAGGCTCTTTCTCAGTTATTAGAGCTTGAAAAAGTCATTGGTGATAGGAATGGAAACCAATTGATTGCTAGGGATCCGAATTTTGCAGCTTTTCGATCCCCCGGCCCCCTTCAAAGATCAAAGTGGGGTCCACTATCTTTCGTGAATGCATTACTGAATTAACTTACGACTGCAACAGCTGGCGAGGTGAGCATTTCATGAGCAGGGACCACGGCAAAGTAGGCCAGATTTGCTGTCACATACACAATTGTTACGATCGGCATCGCTATCCATATAGCTCGCGGTAGATTCCTGCCACAGAAAATCACAGTAAAGTTAGTAGGTAATACACATCAAGTTCTATAGTGAAGCTATAACTATAGCTCGTTAGTGTTTCGTGAAAAATTGAAGTAAGTAGTAATTGAGACGATTTTCCAAACTTGGAATGGCGGTCAGGGTCGGACTGGCCATGAAACCAATCTGCCATTGACAGAAACGCTCTCTTTAGCGCGTACGCGCCCCTCTGACAGATGCGGCAAAATGGGAAGAGAAAAAAATTAGGGCCGAGAAAAAATGCGGAAAATTCATAAATGAACGAGAGAATAGAAAGTAGGAGTAAAGAAAGGCGGGGCAGCCCCCGGGGGGTTGGGCTCCTTGGATGTCAAAGGGGGCAGCCCCTGGGGGTTGGGCTTCTTGGATGCCATGGGGGGCAGCCCCGAGAGTTGGGTTGCTTAGATGTCGCAGGTGGAGCGACCCCCGGTGGGTTGGGCTCCTTGGATGCCAAGGGGTACAACCCCGAGAGTTGGGTTGCTTGGATGCCAGGTGGAGCACCCCCGGAGGTTTTGCAAAGACCCTCACCTTGGAACAGGCCCATTGCGTATTACATTACTGAAATTCGTACTCGGTTGCCTTGGCCAATGATTTGCCTTCAATTAGCCAGCTATGCAAAATGACTGCCATGGCGCACGAATAGTGGTATCAGAATTTAGCACTCAGATTACGGACTCGGTTGAAGGCGCTCTTCTGTATCCTATGTGAGTGTCCCTGACAATGATGTAAATGTTCATAATTTTGGAGTCTTCATTCATGCCGTAATTTTGAAAAATGCCCGAACAATATTATTTTGATTATAAAATAATGAGATTTTTTTTGCCTGTATATGTCTTATGTCAAAACAGAGCGCCCAAACGCTTGGTTCAGATTATGGTTTTAAGTCTTCTTGCTCTGGTCATCGTATTCTGGTAGGTATTGTCATGCAAAACTGAGAGAGTCGCCGTTTACAAGTTCGCAATTTACTTGAAAGCGGTTGGGGATTCAATAAGTTTCGCACGGATAAAATGAGCTTTCGTCAACGAACTGTGGATAATCAAAATTGAAGAAAAGGTACTTTGTCCACTATGGTCCATTTGACAGGCATAAATCGTGGATGGATGGAGCACGGATGTCCTCCGAGTTTCTACGGGCACTATATATAACGTATACATAGTTAGTTAGTTACTTAGTTAGTTATAGATGGCTATGGGTTTTTAAGGGTATATACGCCAAAGTGTTGGAGGAAAAATAGAAAAAAAAAAATATTACCTATATAATTATTTGGGGGTCCAAGCAGAGAAGATATATTCTAGAGACTCCGCACGTATTCTTGTATGTACCTACCTATGGACACCTTATGGTGTAAAAGTTACTCAAGAAAGTCAATTCTCTGATTCACTTATTGATGACTATGGTATTGGATCAACTAAAGCTTCTAAATAATTTTTAAGTATGAATGAATTCTACTTTAAATCTTGATCAAGAGAAGGTTCAAAACACTAATAATTGCAGAAATGCGTATCTCGAGATTAAACGTCATTTTCCAATCATACAATGCTTGATCCAGCCATATGAGATCAAACTAAATTTTATCCCACGAGGAATTGTAAGCGCGAAACTCTTTTTTCAGTCTTTAAATGATCCAAATCCGCCAACAACAGGTTTAACACACTAATTGTAAAATGCGTATCTTGTGATGAAGTGTCAATTCTTAGTGCCAAATACATGAATCTCGGCATTTCTGCCGTAGGTACTTTCTAACAGTCCGAGAAATTACTCAAAATGCTGATGGAGTCTGAAAAAACATTTTATTCTTGCTATCCTCAAGTATTATTACACTTCCACTAACAATAAAAAGGATTGTCGAGGGCGCGGTGGAACCAATATAAAACGCCTTCAACTGCGTGTGATACTGTGCAACACACCAAAGTTGATATAGTTGTATCCTAGGTTGAAACCTAACTCAGCAATTTTGACGCCGAGCGGTGTGAAATTCTCAGTTTTCGTGAATTTCTTCTTCGAGGAACGAAGTAAAAGCGGGAGATGTATAACCGTGCGTAGAAATTAATTACTTGTCATGCGATCAACGCGTGCAGAGCGAATATCACTCAAAGTCAACAGATCAAGACTTCACTTTCCGTATAGGGCGCGGCTGAACCAATATAAAACGCCTTCAACTGCGTGTGATACTGTGCAACACACCAAAGTTGATATAGTTGTATTCTTAGGTTGAAACCTAACTCAGCAATTTTGACGCCGAGCGGTGTGAATGGATGGAGTCTGAAAAAACATCTGATTCTTGCTATCCTCAAGAATTAATACTCTTCTACTAACAATAAAGAGGAATATCGAGGGCGCGGTGGAACCAATATAATATAATTGCAGAAATGCGTACCTCGTAATCAAATGTCATTTTCTGATCATTCAATGCTTGATCGGGCCACATGAGATCAAACTAAATTTTATCCCACGAGGAATTGTAAGCGTGAAACTCTTTTTTCAGTCTTTAAATGATCCAAATCCGCCAAAAACAGGTTTAAAACACTAATTGCAAAAATGCGTATGTTGTGATGAAGTGTCAACTCTTAGTGCCGAAAACGCGAATTTCGGAATTTCTGCCGTATTTTCTAACAGTTCGAGAAATTATTCAAAATGTCTCTGGAGTCTGAAAAAACCTCTTATTCTTGCTATTCTCAAGAATTATAACCCTTCTACTAACAATAAGAGACATGTAGACAGTTTTTTATACTCTCCTGGAAAATCGAGTTTTCCGAGATATGCACTTCTGCAATTTCACTATCGACAAGTAATAACGCCACAAAGAGGAAAAACTCGGGTAGCGTGAAAGGTAAAATGCTTGGTTTCAAAATTGGACGAAGTAGATATTCTAGTTCCATGAACCACGCGGGTGAATAGATGCTGTAATATCTCAAATAGGAAAAGGAGGCGCGTTGATGACGGCGAAGGGATACAACTATTCGCACATGGTGGATGTCCGTGTTGCATCTCCGAAATTGAAGGCGTGATGGCGCAAAGCGAGAACTCGCAATGCTCCGTTCTATGTGTATTGCCAATGAGGTGTCGCTCACAATCACATTTGGAAGAAAAAATTAAAACACGAGGCTCGATTACGTCTCGATTTTGTTCCTACTCAATTTCCTTTTCTTTTTTCAATTTGAACTCTGATTCTTTCTTTATGATGTCTTTTCAAACCTATCTAAAGAATACAGCCAACTAATAAATTCTAAGAAAATTTTTGGATGAACAAAAAAAAAAACTCGAAGCCAAGTTCAAAATAAAAGTTCAATTAGTTCTTACTCATTTTCGAGGAGAAAAAAAATCACTTGGAAAGTACCAATTTCCTACTTTTCCCCAATAAAAAGTATCTAGAAAGGTGGAGCAAGACGATTGGTATATAACATTAAGAATTCCTTCTAGATAAGTAGAGATTACAAATAGGAAAAAAATGGACCCTATATTAAGCTGGACGGTTTAGTTTGAACCTTTTTTCTCTCTAATTTCTAGACATCTTTCACTTTTTTGTGGTTTTTGTGGTATTTCATCACATATTTTTTCAGGCAGAAAATAGCTTCGCTGCTAGGGAAAGATTCGAATGAATTGCGCACTGGAACTCGGCCACGAGAAGTTGGAAGGATCGAGAGAGCGCGGACTGAAAGCTTTCTGCTTGATTTAAAGACTGATAAATAATACATGACTCAAACAGGGATGCAGCTAGACCCGAAAGGATTTCTTCGTAGTGGTCTTGAAAGGGTTGCTCAATCCTCCCTCCCGCAGACCACCCCACGAGACCGACCCGTTTAATTTCACAATAGCGAAATAGCTCCACCGCGCTGCTACTCCTACCTGTTGCATGGATACCACCGCAACCACTTGTTGAGAATCTCGCAGCCTACCGTTGGTCTGTATTACGAGATATTGCTGATAAACATTTTGTGACAATGGAAGGATAGCTCGTCACCTTCCAGGCAAAGTATCACAAGCGCCATGCGACGTTTAAAAATTTCCGCCGCCGTTATATTTTTTTACAGAGAAATTGTTCAACGAAGCTGTCCGAAAATTACACCGAATTTTCTTTGTGCTGCCGATAAAATTTAGTGAAATTTTCGAACAGATTCAACCAACAATTTCTCAGTAAAAAAATAAAATGGCGGCGGAAATTTTTAAACGTCGCATGGCGCTTGTGATACTTTGCCTGGAAGGTGACGAGCTATGGTACTTATTGTTAGTCGATAAATACGTATCTATTTCTGTTGCAGACTTTTCAAATTTCCGATTGTGTTTTACTCATTGATTTATTTAATTCAATTTATTTGCGTACTTAATTATTACTTGAAATTAATAAGCAGCTTTATTTATTTTAAAACTGGACCCCCCCCCAAAAAGCCTACACATCTATGAGCTGGGCGCCATTTAAACGAATTAGCACTAGTATACTAGTACTCTAGAGGCAAGTCGAAATCAAAAAGCGCTGCCTATCGGCTGAGCGCTTAAAAACTAGCTTAAAGAGAAAAAGTAGGTGTAGCTCCTTGAAATAATCCGGGAACGTTTTTTAATGAGTGTGAAGAAAACTCATGAAAAGTTTCGGCCCATTCGTTAATTTTTTAAAATAAATACATAAAACATGCGAATGGAGATTTGCGACGAAATCTACGTAATTCTTTAATTTCGGCTATCGATATTCCTCTCTATGAATGAACCACTTGACAAGTTTAGAATTTAGATATCAGTAGTAAATGTTTCCTCATCAAAACAGTATGCAAAATAAGTTGAATGGTTTGAAGATTATTTTATAATTAAATAAAACTTATAGGTGAGAGGCTCGCATTAACGGTGTACTCATTTCGCCGAAGGCAAATGCACTTTTTTCCCATGTGACAATCGATCAATTCGTAAAGAGCGTTGCTCATTGTTACCACAAGATAACGCTACGTCCGTGATGAAAAAGGTTTTCATAATGATAGTGAAAAGCGAGAATCTAT